GTCAGAAAGTTCGCAGTCAAGCTCTGCGTCGGACAGGAGATAAATACGAGATTTTGTTGCTGATAAGAGGGGTAAGAGACAAATGTAGTCATATATCCTGCCTCCTCCCCCCACCCCTCCGCGATCTCATTGGCATCACCACATCTTTCTCCTCCTTGCATTACTGCCGCTGCCGCTTCATTGCCACCACTGCCTCACCATCGCCTCCTCCTCCTCACACCACCATCACCACCACCACCTCTTTGCACCACACAACCTCCACCTCCACCATCCTCTCCTCCTCACATCATTGCCGTTGCCACTGCCTCATTGCCACCACCACCACCACCTCCTCCACTTGAGTGGGGACCCTGTCCCCATGTATTTGCCATATATGGCAAGTGCATGCGGCATTAATTAATCCAGGTTTGATCCAGTTTGAGCACTTAAACTGCAGGTTTGGTTTGGGGTTCAGACCAAAGTGTCTGAGAACCAAACTGAACTCAACTTTGGCATCCCTAATTCAGAGGTTCAGACCAGCTCGAACCTGAACCAAACCTCCAAACCACTTTTAGTAAAACTCCCACTGTATTAATTAGTTCAGTTCAGTTTGCTGTTGAACTACTTGGCTTGGTTTGGGGTTTGGGGTTTGGGAAAGGGGAGCCTCTGAATTCCAAATTTTGGCATCCTCAGATGCATTCTTATGCCGTGCCTGTTTTTATTGATGCATGTTTGCACATATTTACTCCAAGTTTGATATGTGGGTCCATCTGTATTAGCACACAGCCAAGAAAAACACTAACTTCTATTGCATCTGAATCGTCCCATGTCTACTTTTCAGCTATCAGAAGATTGTATAACTGACCTTGCAGAGCTTGTCCTTCAAATGGCACTATGTGAATGGGGTGATTGCAAAATTATGCTGAATTGTTGGCTCAATATACACAAGGTGATTACCCCTGTCTATGTGTGGATTTGTCCTAAGGATGTATAAAATCATTAATGGAGGCTGGATTCAATCTGAAGTCCGCGTGGTTACAGCTGTGTGTGACTACTTTAGTCGAGGCTGGATGAAGTTGCGAGTGCAGCTGGATCTTCGGAGTTGAAGGAATTGTGGCCACATAACTTTTCTTTCACTACTACTCCCAACACCTGTGCACTATAGTCTGCCAAAATATCAGTGGAATTTTTTCCAATAGTCTTGGAACCAGCCACCATTTGCTGACCCGTCGATTACAGCATATCCTAGAACACTGTTCTACCGCTGCTGCAAAGGTAAGTGATCAGTCTCACCAACTTACTCGCAGTAAGGTCCTAACTCGACTGTTACTCCTACTGCTACAGGATGGCAAACACCATTGCTGTCTGCCAAAGTGTAAACAGTCACTGCACAGTTCAACATCAGTGTTGCAGCTACATTGTAAACTCAGCCATATTTCACGCATTCCATTACCATGTCCTGCGAAAGGTATGTTTGCATAGTACTCGTCACATACCTGGAGTTTTAGTGACTGTCTACGACTCAATATCTATCCTTTTTAGGTTGCCATGAAGCATTTACTTGCGCTACCGCTCTTAAATCTCATTTTGTAGCTACACATGCCGATTTGCTTGGGAAGTGGATTACGCTGCCGTCCAACGACATTTCCCCCATTGCTGCACCATTTCTGCCTCATACAAGACCCTCCCCACCTCCGCTGCCCGATCATGCCATACTACCACTATGGAAGATCACCCCACTCGTCATTCCCGCGCCGCCTTACCAGCCCAGGAAAGAACAACCTCGAGGCCTGGCAAGGAGATGGCACAGACTTAGTGCAGAGGATGAGGATGATGACGACGAAGACGAGGCACGTATAGCGTTCGAAGACCTGCTTCAGGTTCCTCTCAATCCAGATCACATTGTCAACACTGTCATCAGGTCAAAGCCACCAAATCTTGACCACCAACTCTCTAGGCCGCAGACTGGCGTTGCTCCAGCACTGCAGAGTGATGATGTACTCCGATCTATGCTCTTTGAAGCACTTTCCAAGCGGATTGAAGCTAGACTGGAGATTTAGAGGCGGCGAGTGGTCGAGAGATGCAATAATACTGCGACGACATAAATTCACAACTAGCGGAACACCACGTTAACTTCCCCAAAATATCCTTTCTTCAATATAGCTTTCCATGTTAAAGTGGTTTATTTTCACATTGATTCACAACATACAAACGATCATTTAGTAATGACGATATAGTATTGAGATTACGACGATGCCCATGCGTGTATATGGCACTGTCCAATAGTAATACATTACAGCGTATTCCTTTGCTGTAAAACTACTCCTAACGATAGGAGAAACTAGATAATGCAATCGGCTTATCGATCGTGCCCTGAGCCCCCAAGTCCCCAAGTAAAAAAAACTGTCCTAACACTCATGTCACTTCGACCTTCGCATGCCCAACACTCGCGCGATATTAGCATGGCAGACCATCCCGTTCCCACCCAGAGTAAGTAGCAAGAGCGTATTGAAGCAACGGAGACGCCGAACAAGCAATACGCCGACGTGCTCTAACCAGGCAATTCCTCGAACCCATTCGGGAGTGGATCCACCGAATCAAGGCGCATATGTGAGAGAGAAAGCGCATGTGGATATCCTAAAATCGATGTGTGCACATATATATCAGGAATATATGCGTGCCATCATCGAAATGACGGCGGGATATATTGTCCTGAGGCGGAGGCTCGAAGCATCCATAAACGGGTAACAGATAGAAGCATAAAGGCATGCGAACCGACTATGGCTGTGGGTTTTCGGAGCTAACATAAAGTCGAGCGATGGCTAGCACCGATTCGAAATTTGTACACTGGGATGAGTGTCGACTGCGTTGCCGCTTGACTATGATAATGATGAATAGTGAGAGTATGATGCCAATAGAAAGACCAAATGCAACGCGGGTCCCGTGTGTATCGTCGAGTCAGTCGGTGACGAACCATTGGCTGACGATTAAATAAAACAGCAGCGATAACAACGATAACAACAATCCAAAACGCGTCCACATTACACCGAAGATCTGATATTACGTCTTTTATTTTTTTATGGGGCCTGATTATCTCTCAATTGAGAGACTGAATGGAGTAAAAGGGGGGACAAAACGCACGACATGCAAATCCCGGAACTTAGCGCGAGGAAAGGAGATAAGACAATGGTGATCAATATCCATAACCGGCTCTTGCTGGGGCAGTAGATGTGGCCGCCCCATTAGCAGCACTTTTTGCAGCCAGGTTTACGTTCATGCTAACCGGCTGTCCGCTGACGCTGACTCCAGACCCCACGCCGTTGACACCATTGACGCCGACGCCTGGACCAATAGACGAACCAGGTACAACACCTGGACCAACTGCTGCGCCACCGACGAGTGCAGATAGACGCGATATCTCTTCGCGAGACGAGACAAGGGCAGAAGTAAGCCTTTCATTCTCGTTTGAAAGATATTCAACTTTGGCTTGCAACTGAGCAAGCCAGGCTTTTTTGCGTTGGCGACATTTGAGCGCAGCTAAATATTGAGCCAACAGAATAAACCACTAAATCAAATTACCGGCAACAATGATCTCTCGACGTACCTTGTCGATTACGCTCCAGAAAGTTACGTCGCTTTTCTTCTTCAGTCTCAGGTTTCTTCTGCGACTGCTTGCGACCACCGTTGGCGGCCTGACTCATATGACTTTCGAAATCATCTTCCTCCTCCTCTTCCTCCTCGTCGTCGTCATCAAGCATGCCATCTGAGCCACGGGGCGAACCTCTCCTACCGCGCCCACCGCTACCAGAGGAAGCGGTATATCCACGAGACCGTTTTGACGCAGTTGGAAACGGAGGCAAGTTTGCATTGGCCGTTCTCGCGACTGGAGCAGGAGGGGCTGGCGGACTACTGATGTCATACGATTTTCTCTTCGCGCCACGACGTGCATTGTTGGATGCGCCATTGACAGAAGTGCCGTTGGTGGCTCCTGCACGTGCCTGAGCTTCCTCTCGCTTTGTAAGCTCTTGATGAGCCTGTGAGAGAAGGAAGAGACCATTGGCTGCCGCACTTGCCGCATTTGATGCCGAAGTCAGGTAACTTGGGTTGTTCTCCTGATTGTTAGTGTGCGATGTAGAGAGATGTGATGGCTGGCTGGGCTGATGGGAGGAATTTGAAGGATAGTGACTGGTACCATTGAGCACACCGGTAATGGCACTGAGGGTGTTGGGAGTGATGGTCGCATTCGTAGAGGCAACCTGTGAGGAATTGTTATTCATAAGAGCCAGGAAGGCAGCTGTGTTTGGAGAAGCAGGGGGGAATGAAACGGGACCGCCAACGAGGGGCGTTAAACCGGTGCCTGGTGTGAGGCCAGTACGAGGCGTGAGACCTGTTCGAGGAGTAAGACCTGTGCGGAAAGAAGACGAATCAAAGTTGATGTGATTGGTTGGCTCTGAGTTCTGTTGGGGACCAGCTAGCATGGCGGGGGAAAGCGGGCCAGCACGAAGCGAGTTGGAGAGGGAAGAGGAAAACTGCCAGCCATAGGACGAGTCTGAGGGGGAGGCAATGGCGGCGAGCGGGGGAAGGACGGGCCGGGGAGAGGAGGGGCGGTGGGCGTCGTGCTTGTTGGACGAAGAGGAGACTGGCCGGTCGGATAGTCTGGTAGACGAGTGGTTCGAGGCGGGACTGACCGACTCACGACGAGGCGACGAGGTTTGGCGGAGATTGGATGGGCGCGAAAAGGACTGCTCGAAGGGATTGGGTTCGAGGTCAAAGTCTGAGCGGGTCTGGCGGAGACCAGACGGCTGGGAGTCTTTGGGAGGAGACTGGTGGTCCATGTCGTTGGGCGAAGAGTGGGCGGCAGCGGGAGACATGATGACGACAGAGCGACGTAGCGGTGACGACAGGGCGCTTCTAGGTCGGTGACGTTGGGCAAAGGTCGAGTGCGCAGCTAATTCGGTTTGGGAATTGAAATGCAGCAGTCCACAGTGGCAAAAGCAACTGTCCGATTACTTCCTGATTGGCATTCAAGAGATTTCTACGATATGGTCCGTGCACTAACCCGCGATGGCGTCAATTTCTTAGATGGGGGGTTGCAAAAAAGATGACGATTACTGACGTAGTCGTGTTATATTCAACTTCAGGCGGAGTTCAAATTGATCCATATCTCCACATCTAAGATCACATTCACCACGTCATCAATGATCCATCCATTGCGTCAAACCTCTCACACTCTTTTCCTACTCGCCTTTTTTTCATACTTAAACGCCAGTCGTCGAAATTTTCGCTGCTCCACTCCCCATAAGACTTATCACGACCTCTCTCATTCAGTCTCGTCCGTTCTAGGCGTCCAAATCACATGCATATCTCGCACGAGGCAAGCCTGCTGTTTATTTCCTGCCTCCGATCTTCCCCCAATTTCCCCAACTCCGGCACCATCAGCCACACCCCGTTACAATATCGTTACGCCACCCCAAATGTCGTTGATCCGGTCAATTTAGATTTGCTCTCCTATACCACGCCGCGTCCGTAGTCTAGGGAGGTCCCATCCAGCCCCTTTACACTTTACAATGGAAAATGGTCTTCTTGCAGCGCCGGTTCGGCACCGATTCTATTCTCTTGCTCCCTGGCGCGCTCATCCAAGTACCCCAGTAATACATCTCTGTACATTTTCCGACCTTTGTATGTGCTCACGTCGTCAGGCCAACTCCTTATCGAACTCGCAAGTCGTCCTGGGACTCCCGGCTCATCCGCGAGCTCCTCAATTTTAAAGAGATAGGTCCTGATACCAAAGATAATGGCACCTGTTCTCGGTAGTCGCCTAAGTGTCTGTCGTTCCGTGCGTAGCCGTAACGTTTGTGGCGCCAGATATGGTGCTTGTCTTCTCGCATGTCCGTGACCGTGTGCGAAGGCATCTTCAGGTCCATTGGTGGAATCTGACCACCCTAGTTCTTCTGGATCGACGTCTGAGGTTGTTTCTTCCTTGTCGTCAAGCGTGTGACCATCCTCTGACTTCTTTAGTGGTTTTACGACCTGTATGAAGTAGTTGTTCCGTACGACCGGTTTCTCTAATGGCATGCGTTTGAAAAATCGTTCCATGCTGGTTTGCAGCTTCTCTTTGTCTGGAGTCGAAGAAACAGTTGAAGTGTTAGTATTGAGAATAATGTATACGTATGTATACTGACATTGTGGGACATTGCCAGTGATGTGTATCTCATCGAGTGGCATTCCTATTTTGTCTCGCATGCGCCAGAAGCCTGCAAGTCAAATCAGACCTTTAGAGACATGGCCACATTATATGGAGACATGCCAGGTACGCATATTGCCCCAGCTTGGAAATAGTATCGTCCATCTGATCCTGTTTTAGTGATATCACCTTCAGTCATTTGACAAGTATGAGGGAAGTACTTCTGCTCACCCTCGATCATTATTGCTATATCGTCTTGTATACTTCAGACGCCGTGTTAGTCGCGTATATGTGAGTATTGTATGCAAACATACAGTAATGCTGCAACGCGCATGGCTTCTTCACCCTCGAGTCCATCGAACTGATAAGTTTTCCCAGTTGCGACAACTATGATTGTATGTATGGGTGGTAAACCTTCCCAGCCGAGAGATAAGCCGTTTATCTGAGGCCATGGTTGCTCTGCAGTATGCCGTGTGACGACGAAGCAAGAAGGGTGTCGTCGCGAAAGATATTCTCCAATCTCGTACAGTAACTCTTTTGCTTAATACCTACCAGTTCAGTAAAGTAAAAGGTCGCAGTGGTGGGAATGAGACTCACCTGCATCTCCACCCCCACGAATATCCACCCCATTATCGTGTCGCGAAGGTAGAATCCTCACAGCATCTTCGCCGCGCGTCTTGATGCGAAAGGCGCGAATACTCTCGTATGTCGTATATTGTTGGTCGAGCTCAATCCACTCGTCCCAAGGCATAGAGCGTATACCCATCGTTATGCTTTGCAAATTAAATAGTCAGAACATCATTCGTAAACCGAGCGCAGGGCATAAGATAGAAGGATAACAAAACATACTGATATTCGCCCCAGCGGAAGGGTCGGTATGGAACAGGCCGTATGTCAGATAGAGGGTGGGGACATGGAGTAATTGATGGGTAGTCGAATGTTTGTGGTGTCCATTCTGTAGTCAGACGAGTGGTCACTTGGACAGTAGTACGAGGCTAGATGGACTTACCGCCTGGTTCCCGGAATTTGTTCAAATCCTTCTGTACCTGCACCTCTTCTGGCGCACCGAAACGTCTCTTTTTCGACAGATCTGCCTCGGTCGAGACAGGCTGCTTTCGTCGAGCGCTGTATCTCTTGAATGCGAACAATCCTAGCAAGAGTCCACCAATGGCCACCAGGGCTAGACCATCGGAGTTGCATGGTACCCAGTCGAGCCTATCCATCACCCGCGAGGAGAAACTTGACAGACGAAAGTAGCCTCGATAGAATGAAGCGCAGTCGACGCCTAAGTAGTCTCTAGACCAGGACGTCATTGGTGTTCCTAGCAGGGCAAGTTATGGCTATGACGATAGCAAAAAAGCGTCCGTGTGAGATGCAGTGGAAAGGAATGTCCTGAAGAAGAGCTGTCATCAAGGATAAGGCCAAGCTTAGGGACTTTGCATTACTACCTTTTCGATGCCTGGTTTCGGATGGAATGATCGATAACCGTTTGCGGGAACAACCCTACCAAGCGAGTTCGGAGGCCTCATTGTGATGTAGGGATTTATATAGTTTGGCGGATGAAGGGAAGGTTCGTGTAAATGCAAGCGGTCATCTGCTCAATTCTGTGGCCAGGAAAGGAGTTACTGATGGCTTCGATTCGGTGGATTTAGTGTTATCGGGTCTGTGGGCCTCGTGCCTTGTGGTGAACAATGCGGCAAACTAGCAATAATGGACTTGTTGAAAGGAAACATGAAGACGACTGTGGGAGATTGGGGGGTCGTGTTGCGACATGTAATACGTCACGCGCACAATGCACAGTAGAAGTACGGTGCGTTCAGCCAATGGACACCCATCGAGTAACAGGTACAATGCTTTTCTATACGCAGTAATGAAAATGATACTGAGACAGTATTGACAACAAAGACAACTAAACAGATAGACAGCTCTACAATAATCCTTCAAATTTATATACACATCCCTTTTACACAACACCATCCTCACAGCCCGCTCCGGCTATCTACAACATCCAAAGCATTCCGCTTGATTAACTCGTCAAACAACATGGACCTCGGTACATTGAAACGTCGTGGTGAAGATACGATGGGCAGCGGTCGCGAGAGCTGCCTATCAAGATTCGGAGGCTTCAAATGCACCTCCACAGCAAAGGGCCCCGTAGATTTTTGGATCACAGAGTGATTTAGGTTATCAAAGGCTATATGCTCATGCCCGTCCTCCTCATCCTGTACCTCCATTCGGCTCCACTTGCGACTGATAGGCTCTTGGGGAGAGCTTTTGCGCTTAAGATGTTGATTTGGAAAGACGAGAGGAACCGCTAGGTGTGCCGGCACCGGACTATCAGGAAGAGGAGGCAGAAAGCGTTTGATCTGAGGAGCGAATGGAATAGCTGTAGCATTGATAGTCGCAGATGGAAAGGTGATAACTGTATTGACGAGCTGCCAGTGACTCGTTACAAAGTGGGTTTCGAGAGCCGTAGTACGGCCAAAGAGCTGATCACATCCTAAATGTGAGATCAAAGCATCAGTACAGGGCAACGAGAACATTCGCATATGTGATATGCCCCGAGCGCAAAGTTGTACGCACCTCGGGCTGGACATGAGAGGGCGACCCGAGAGAGGTGACTCAGCTCGACATGGGTTTTCAGAGCGGCCACCGATCCATGCGCTCGACCTGCACATCGCGGGAGAGAGCAGTTGTAGAAATTTTCCTACCGCCGGCGAAACGTTAGAAATCGAATACGAAAAGCGGCGGGAAAATGGTTGATACCTGTATGCGAGCGCTCCAACAATGTTGATTGAGGTGCTGCAACAGATGTTGTGAGTTTGTATGTCAACAAAGGTGCCAATCAAAAGGTGTCTCGAGCCAAAAATGTAAACACCATCGAGTGCTGTGATGGATGGATGGATGGATGGATGGATGGATGGATGGCTTCAGGTCATACTCCCAACACCGATGCTCTATTTCCAGATGTGATGGTGAAGATTAGATGACACCTCTGGCTACCAGTCTGGAAATGGGGCACTGGTAATGAGAATATGCCAGATAGCCTTGGGGTAGAACAAGACAGATTTGCCCAGTGCACACTGGTCTGGCTGGAGCACAAAAACCAGGGTCTGAGTATCTCAGGCATATCCGAAAGCGGCTTTGTTGATGTTTACGCGACGAACTCAATTGCAACTGAGGTAAGAAATTTTACTGTACCTGATGTAGACTATGCCAGCTGTTTAACACAGCTTCACACTCTTCCCACTCACAGTTAAATGGCCTTATTACCTGTTTTGAAAGCTGAAGAACATGATCTGTGGATAATGTGAGTGATGAGGTCATGCAGAGGCATTCAATTATTTGATTTTGAATGTATGAGTGTTGTCAAAGATGAACTTACGACAAACATGTACAATCAAAGAGTGCTCACTGGTACTGGCATGAGGTGATCTAGATTTGCTTCTTGTAGCTGACTATCCAGGTTGCTATATCCTAGCACTTGTATCTACAGTAGTTTCCAAATGTAACGGGATTGTTGTAATTTTTATTTTCCAGTGCGGTGTCATGCACCAAAGTTGATTGGTAGCATGGACAGGTGTCAATAACGAAGCGAATATTCAAAAAGACTCGCCTTTGCGCCACACAGGCACAGTGCCACGTGGAATAGTAATTAATATTGCCCTTTTTGAACTTGTGGCTGATCAGCACCACCTCTATTAGGCAATCCAGTCACGCTCACCTTTGCTTTTCCATCCGGTACTTTCCGCGTTTCGGCATTTCAGCAAATTTTCGCGTCGCCACTGGCTACACATTGCATTGCGCCCTCGCTTTTGTCGTTTCCCTTACTCCCCTTCCTTTGCCTAGCCCCACCATGGGCCCCTTCCTCTCCTTTTTATTCTCACCCGACGGTCGTTTCTGGGTCCCCATTTTAGTTCACCTCCTCGTCACCTCCACCCTCCTCCTCCTCATCTTCTTTGCTCCCCTACCATTTCTGATGTCACCACTTCCTATCCGCTTCCGTCGCCGATCCGTTGACTACCACGTGCCACTGCTGATATCAGCAAAGCCCCGGCGGCCGGTCCAAATAGGGCAACAGGTCCATCTTCATGACGTCGATCTGCCATCATATACTATCAAAACATCGGTCGCTCGTCTTGCCTGGTTGGAGCGTGGGTGGGTAATTTTTGAGCTGGAGAAGGTTCATCCCCTTGCGTCGCCCATGTTCATCGCGGTCCCATTCACTTGGGTACACTTATCTTTTGTCCATCGTCTTCGCTACAGCTACACCTACCACACGCTGCCTGGGACTCACTTGTTCCAAATTGGGACTACTCCTCTCCCTCCCTCATTTGATCAGGTGGTCCAACACAACCAGTCCATTGGTAAGGCCATGGAACTGTCGGATTTGGACTAGGTGGTGGACCGGTGGCTCCAGTTTCTTTTTCTTCAGCAGAACATTCATTTACAGTGCGATTATTTTTGATTTTTGAATCATTTTTTATGGACACATATTTTTTTAGAATGCCTGACTGACAATAAAGGAACTGTGTTGATACTGATAGTGTTTTGCCTTGCCCTTTTTTTACTGCATCTTCCCATGACATCATGATTTTCTTGCTCTCTTTTTGCTATTGGACTTTACTTTATGGCTGTACAAACCTGTGACATTACTCACAGCATTTATTGTTCTATCCCTTTCTTTTCCTTTTTTTGACAATCTTATCCTGTACTACCTACGCAGGATTCGTCAGCGTACATTCCTTCCTTCATATTCTTTCTCATTCTTTTTGCACAGCTATACTGTGCATAGCCTACTTTTCTTTTACTATATAAACCCCTGTATTTTACCTTGTAAAAAAAAAGAACAAGAACTCGAATTCAGACTTCTTCTCTACTCTCAAGTTCACTACTCTGCTACTTGTGATCCAGTGTGGTCACAACACTTCCCACTTCTACCACTGTTAACTGCTGTCATCGTCACTCGTCACTTTTGAAAGTGATTGTCATCCCCTTCGATTAGAGTCCTTCTGAGCACTACAGTTTGTGCGTCAGGAGCCTGCTATCACTGGGAACCTCGTCACCTCGTCATCCTCGTTATTCTCAAACCTACCTTGTGCTACAATTAGCAAGGTAGTGCTCGTCTATACTCGCCACAAAGCCCCTATCTTTCTATAAATTCAACTATCCCTCCTCCTCAAAACCCACATACACCACTGGGTTTTACTTTGAAGGATCCTCATATATACCACCCCACGAACAACCAGAGCACCCACTGTTCTAGGAGGCAAAGCCCATAAACAAGTTCCGTGGAATCTGGGAGGATTGTGTGTTAGTTTGTTTTGTGTGTGGTTTTCTAACTGCAGTTCTCATCATCGACAGCGGGTCATCAATACATACATGTCACAGAACTGCCCTCATTACGCCACACTTTCAAATAAAATTTCACTTGACTTTGTTTGTCAAAATCCCAAGTAACACATTTGAGTAATAATCGAGTAAATGCACAACAATCAGTAACACTTGAGCAATATGTCCAGTAACACCAGAGTAACTCTGATATGTGATTAATGCCAGGCAACAAATATGAAGCTATATAACAAAATCAAATGTCTGGCTAAGTCCTTTGAGGAAAGGCAGTGAACCAGAGTATCAGGATTGAAGAGTATCTGTATAGGTGTAAATCCAAACTAATATTGAACTAAGGAATAATACATCAAGTACATACTCCTTATATAATGAATCACAAAGATAAGTCTGAAAGGAATAACAAAATCAGGAATGGTCTGGCCAACAAGGAGCCAATAAGAAAAAAAGGAGGAAATGGTACAATCTATCATAATTACTAATTATGTGAGAGAAATCCTTTGTATGAGATGTACAATTGATCAGTAAACCCATGAGAAGGTACTGAGTCACAGCCCATACTGCTGATTAATATCCCACTGGGGTATTCCCAGACATAGCCTTTGACCAATGCTACATCATTGGGATATCTTCTTGAGGATTGGAGAGGAGTCTCCTATGTTTTAAGTATGATAGGACATAAGTGTGAAGGAAAAACAAGAAGAAGAAGGATAAGAGTAATAGGATACCAGCTGTAACTTTTAATCCAATGCCGAGAGGAGTTACAGTGTCATGCACCAAAAGTGATTGGTAGCATGGACAGGTGTCAATAATGGAGCAAATATTCAAAAGACTTGCCTTTGCGCCACACAGGCACAGTGCCACATGGAATAGTAATTAATATTGCCTTTTTTGAACTTGTGGCTGATCAGCACCACCTCTATTAGGCAATCAAGTTGTGCTCACCTTTGCTTTCCATTCAGTATTTTTGGCATTTTGGCAATTTTTCGCGTCGCCACTGGCTACACATTGCATTGTGCCCTTGCTTTTATCATTTCCTTTACTTCCCTTCCTTTGCCTAGCCCCACCATGGGTCATTTACTCTCTTTTTTATTCTCACCCGACGGTCGCTTCTGGATTCCTATTCTAGTCCATTTCCTTGTCACCTCCACCCTCCTCCTACTTGTCTTCTTTGCTCCCCCACCATACCTGATGTCACCACTCTCCATCTGCTTCCGTTGCCAATCCGTTGACCACCACATGCCACTGCTGATATCAGCAAAGCCCCAGCGGCCGGTCCAAATTGGGCAACAGGTCCATCTTCATGATGTCAATATTCTATTGTATACTATCAAATCATTGGTCGCTCGTCTTGCCTGGTTGGAGCGTAGGTGGGTAGTTTTTGAGCTGGAGAAGGTTCATCCCCTTGTGTTGCCAATGCACATTGCTGTCCCATTCACTTGGGTACATCTATCCTTTGTCCATCGTCTTTGCTACAGATACACTTACCACACACTGCCTGGGACACATTAGTTCCAGAACTACCCCTCTCCCTTCCTCGTTTGACCAGGTGGTCCATTACAACCAGACCATTGGTAAAGCCATGGAACTGTCAGATTTGGACTAGGTGGTGGACCGGTGGCTCCAGTTTCTTTTTTTCCAGCAGAATGTGAGGCAACAATAAACTATAACAAAAACAAAACCTGTCTCCTTCTGCACTTGCAGGGAGTAAGGGGTTCGATGAGCTTTGAGGTCGACAGACGCTAGTAAATATAGCGAGTAGAGGACTTTGAGAGGTAAGCTTCAAAGGTTCTTTGTTGAGGAGTAAAGCGGGTAAATTCAGTAATAGAAAACTAAGGAGCTATACATGAATAGGTAAGGCTTTATATAGTGAACTGTTCGTTCCTCAGACTGAAAGGAGAATATACGAAAAGTGGTCTGAGGAATCAATCTACCAATAAGAAAAAGAGAGAACAACTATTGTACGACTTTTAACTTGATTAATCAGCAGGTGAGAGACTTGTACTAATAATAGAGGATTGTCACGCATGTTCAGGAACCGTATCCTCATAATAAGGTACGATCCTGAATAAGGCGTTATTAGTATAACCAGGCTTTACTGAGGCTTGGAGCTGGTTGGCGAGATGCCTACTACCAGTCCTTACTCCGTGTGCTGGCTGGCTGGGAGCAATACCCAGTCTCTGATCTGTGATATAAAATGGTAGCAATGGTTAAGAAAGCCTGTGAGGGCTATGGGAAGTAAAACGGCAAATGATACCTCTAGCCCTAGAGCCAGAGGTGTAACGGGAAAAGCGTTTGAGAACCAAGACATAGCGAAGATAAGAAAATAATAAAATGGTCCTTACACAGAACATTCATTTACAGTGTGATTAATTTTGATTTTTGAATCATTTTTATGGACACATATTTTTTAGAATGCCTGACTGACAATAAAGGAACTGTGTTGATACTGATATTTTTTTTGCTTTGCCCTTTTTTACTGCATCTTCCCATGACATCATGATTCATTGTTCTATCTCTTTCTTTTCCTTATTTTGACGATCTTATCCTGTACTACTTACGCAGGATTTGTCAGTGTACATTCCTTCCTTCATGTTCTTTCTCATTTTTTTTGCACAGCTATACTGTGCATAGCCTACCTTTTTTTTACTATATAAACCCCTGTATTTTATCTTGTAAAAGAAAGAAAATCTAATCAAGACTTCTTCTCTAATCTCAAGTCCACTTCTTACTGCTACTTGTGATCCAGTGTGGTCACAATACTCCCCACTACTACCACTGTTGACTGCTGTCATTGTTACTCATCACTTTTGAAAGTCATTGTCATCCCTTTTGATTTAAGTCCTTCTGAGTACTACAGTTTGTGCATCAGGAGCTTGCTATCACTGGGAACCTTGCTGTTCTCAAACCTATCTTGTGCTATGATTAGCAAGGTAGTGCTCATCTATACTCTTCATAAATCCCCTATCTTCTATATTCCAACTTTCCCTCCTCCTCAAAACCCACACCCATACATCTCTGGGTTTTATTTTGAAGGATTATCATATATACCACCCCACGAACAACGAGGGATAGTTGCTGTTTGGTTCATGAAATGGTACCCTTGCTAGCTTTTGATTGTATAACACTTGTGATAGCTAAAGCAGTGAAAACCAAAAACTATTCACAAGGTCCTCGATCTTAGATAGCATTTTGTAAGCAGATAAAGAATAAATCAACAGCTAAAGAATATGTACATGATGAGTGTCTTATATATACTACTGGGAAGTCAGCCATGAGGCGCTGACTGATGATGATGTCATGGTCCAGACTTGGTCACGTGATAAAATAAGATAAATACTTGGGTATGAATCAGGTGACTGTAAGGTCACATAATATACACCATTAACCAAACTTACAGAGGTGTAAAGGTCAATCTCAAGCAAGTAGTTGAAGACAAGTTGTATAAAGAGTAAATCAAAAGCTGGGGTATGTATATGAAGATACAGCTAGTCATATATGTAGAAATACATATTAGCCTTGAGGCGCTGACTGATAAACATGAGGGCTATGCATGGTTCTTTGTGAGCAGTCAGGTGACTTATGGTTATGTGAAGAGATATGATAATAGATAAGATCAAGTAATCAGATAAGAAGAAACAACAGTCTCAACATTGGAGTTTGAGGGTTTAGTAAGGTAGATTGTCACAGCTATCTTACAAGTTACTGAAACAAGTTCTACTCTATTCACAGTTTCCACTGACACTGACACCATACTGATACCCACTACTACATATACAGTATACATACTTACTTAATCTAATCACAATGTAGAAATTGCTACATACAAAATACCAATTCCTTGATCTTGCCTTCATATATACCCTGACCAAAGAATATATTTTTGGGTGGGAAATCTTGACAGCAAGGGAATCCCGAATGCATTGACAAAGAAATTATCCTTGTTTTGTTCCGTGAAAGTAGGAACACTCAGTCCGAGTTTTTTGGAACTGAGGTGGCAGCATGCGGTGTGGCTGAATATAATGTCTATATTATGTGTAATCTAAAGTCACCTGTTCTCCAATTGGATCTTGAGGCCATTACATAACGGATCAAGTCCCTGCCTGAGGTGCAGAGAACCGGACCAACCCCCAGATTTAGGGTTAGGTCCGGCGGTCTTGGTTCTGAACCATTTAGCCGAACGAACATTGGTCTGATCACGATTACACCTCTTACACAAGTAGCAGAGGACTCGGACGATGGCTCCCTCATTATGCACACCAGGAATTAGGAGGGTACAATCAAAGAAAAAGGGTCTGAAATGTCTACATGATACTACGACCAATACATCTTATTATTTCTACACTTGATTGCCGTTCTCTTCAGGTCGTGTAACGAGTTCCCAGAACAGTAATAATAACGAAAGAAATTTGCAGCTTGAGGACGCAGAATCGCACAGAAAGGAACAATACAAAATAAGTTGAAAAGAAAAGGCTTTGGCGTGATTGATTCCACAGGTTGCCAAGAAATGCGCGATTGGAAATACGTGCCAGTCGATCTCCACATTGCTACCATAATAGGTCACGATCGCATTGATGATACGTATGCGAGATTCTCCTGCGTCGACACCTGAGGTTGAATGTGTACAGGATCGGCTTGATAGGTATGTTGCTGTAATGAGTGCTGCTGCTTAATTGCGACGAGGGCACAGAGAGCAGCTATAATGGAAAGAGTATCAGCATCTTCCCTGCACGATAGAACCAAGACCGAAAAGAAGTTTAAAATGCTTACCGCCCACCCCACTACCGTCCTTCGCCATGCCGATATTGACTCTGCTTTCCACTTCTGGTCCTACCAGAATTCGTAATGATTCGCGCATTTTTGTTTCAAAATTGGGATAGAATTCGACGAGACTGAAGCGGAACGGGTGAGACACTGCATCGATAGAACGAGATAATGAAGGGATGGAACGTACCTTCCGTCCACTCCCACTCCGATCCTTTGCCCATCATCTCGTAATTTGGCAGCGTTCTCACTCGCCCCTTCCTCAGCCAAATGGGCGCGACCTGTTTGGACCAAAACTGCCGCTATTGCACAACCACTCATCCACGCCGCCCGATCAGCGACAAGCGAGCACACCTTGCGCACAATTTCTGCGTCCTTGATGGACACGTCAGAGTCGGCAAAACCTAGTCTCTGTACAACTACGCCTCGCACGCGCTCGAGGCGCGTCCCCTCGTCCTCGTCTTCTTTTCCCGGTAGAGGTGCAAACCGTCCCAGCCCCACCCAAGCCTCTTCGATTTCACTCAGTACTGCAGTATCAAGTCCCCATTGTTTGTTCAGCGCATCTGACGCTCGTCCACCAAATAATACGGGGCGTGGTGCAGCATCTATAAGTGAAAGAATGACATTGCGCGCAATTTCGCCCAGGTACATGCCTGAGATGAACTTCTCAAAAGCTTGGTATCGTGGATTAATCGACTCGCGATCGAGCTTGTTGTCGTAAGGCGTCGTAGGTAATGCGGTGCGCTGCACGAATAGGTTTGACAAAGCACTGAGATTAATACATAATATCGAATAAACTTACGGAGTTGTTGAAACCTCCCCATTCAGTATTAACGATCATGTCGCCTCCCAAAGCAACGGCAGGATTGCTGTCTCCGAACTTCTTGATGTTAGCAACGCTTTCTACGTATGCACCATTCGTACCGGTCCCAAATATAGCACCGAGGATGCAACCACCCGAGGTGTATGCACGCGACAGAAGAGCACCTACGGTCTACAGAAAAGATCCAGCGTGAGGAACAGATATTTGGCAAACATTAAGCTAAGCACTCACATCATTCACAAGTGCAACGCAGTTCACATGCATATGTTTCCGATCGAACGCATTCTGAAGGAGTTTTACGATATCTTTTCCTATTGCGTTCTTGGCTGAAAAACCTTTGGTCCAAGTCAAGAGAATGCCGGAGTCAAGGGCCATCTGTTCGACGGGAAAAGAGAATGTTAGGCCGAGAGGAACTGCAGGTGAATCTTCTTCTTCTTCTAGAGGGTTGACCATATCACGAGAAGGGTTAGGTGTGAGTGATGGAGGAACAGCAGTAGTAGGGGATCCAGATTCGGTCAGGAACGCGTCGACAGAATCAGCGAGGTAATCTAGTGGGATATATAAGAGCGATGAGCCATATCACGAAAAAATATTGTACCAAATAGCGTCGTGACTTCGCCCGTTTTGAGGGTCTCGGATACCCTAAACTTTTGCTGGCGCAGTGAAAAGGTCTTGTCGCCATGAAGGGTAACTTCACAAACACGTCTGCAAGCAATCGTCGGATGAAAATCAACGTCTGAGCGTGAATCAATCTTACAAATTTGTTCCACCAAGATCTAAAGCAAGGAATGTCCTTCGATGAAATGAGCGGCAGGCGCTAGAACGAGTAGTAACGAGAAAGATCCATACCCTGTCTCCGAACCATTCGGGACACCTTTGACGAACGTGGGGCTGCGGTATAATCAGATCGACGTTACGACATGGCCTTTGGAAGAGTACAAACATCATAGCCATCGCATGCCCATAGTTTGAGAGACCATCTGATACCTCCCGAAGGAAAGCCTTGGTGATCTTGAAGAGCGTCGACGAGTCCAATGTGAACTGATCATGGATAGTACTGAGGATATCGTCGACGTTGTCTGCGACGAGGGCAGATGTTGTGGGCATCGTGTGCGGCGTTTATGGCGGGCGCGGTACACTGGCAGTTTCGTGCTCGCTGTCAAGGCTATGGCTGGTTTATCGGCTAGTTATGGGCGGAAAGGAACAGATATAGCAGGTCTCCGGATATGGCAGTGATACGTCATATTTATTTATCTGGGATTTATCTAAGATAATCTAACCCTTATTATTCAACATGACTCGTAACTCATGTTGTCTTCAACTATCATCTCCTTACTATTGCCTTTGCCAACTCGAAATGTACTCCAGCCGTTGCCATCCTCGAGAGCCTGGCATGCATCGGAAATAGCTCGGACTTTTCTGTTGATTCCGTATCCGCCTCTATCAGCAAAACCATCCCGTTCACTCCCGTAATGATGATCTGCTGTCTGACCATATTCTTATCGGTTTTCGTTGGCTGGCTGGAAGGCTTCTTGGCACAAATTTCGCATCTACGTCGTGGATTTCTTATCCTCCTCTCTGGTTGATCTATGAGCGATAACTTTGGCTACGTGCGAATTTCGAAATGCTGTCGCGTGTGGCTTCCAATGCACAGAGGAAACTGAAGACCTCCCTGACAACGCTGTGCGTGGAATCCAGGAACCCTCTGGTGTACAAGCTGGTGTATTACTTCGACTTTCGACTTTCACATTCGTGTTGGTAGTACTAGACCTAGGGTCAACCGATCAGCATACCGAATCTCAGCACATGACGTCGCTCCCATGGATCCTCAGTACTAGTCATTATGTGGATAAAAAAACAGCCATACGATGAAGTTGCATGAATACCTTCAATGGATTAATGTTGTCTTCGAACATCTCTATCTAAACGTCTTGGGACTTACTTGCCTGTAAGGGGCGTATTTTGGTATAGTGCTTAAGGAAATGTGCAAATATGTCGAATCAATTGTTACTAGTTCCAAGGGTCGGTGAGACAACGCGTTGTGTTCGTACATGAGTCGAGTCTTCAGTTTTGCGGGAAGCGAATTCAGTCACGTGATGCTTTATTTCTGAAAACTCGTGACTGAGGCAGTTCTCGTCAGGCTCCCAGTCAATATTTTGTCCAAGGGTCCATCTGCGGAACAACGTGCTTCGATACTTAAGGCAAAACAGCCTTGGAAAATAGCGTAGAAGATGGCAATTGATGGTTTGATTATCCTTGATTCAGCAGGGTATGTTCAGGTTGACTTCCATGTCAAAGGCGTGCTCACCGAGAGAATGAATTATGGCAGTCGCCCAGTTATACAATCAGGATATACCTCTCACCCTCCAGCGTACCCCATTTTTCACATAGACGCGCTAAATACCGCTCTTTCAAAGGCAACACGTCCAGAAGATGTTGACCCAGTTCTTTACGTTCCTCCTGGATTTGGAGGAGAAGGAAGTGCATGCTGTCATGTCGAAATCGGAGGGCTAAGGCTTGTTGCAAGTGTCAGTGGCGACGGTTAGTTTCCCAATATTATCCTAGTGCATGCTATCCATATCTGCTGGACCTCCATGCGACGTCTTTAAAGTGTCCGGTCGAGTTATGGCTTCATGCACTACATCTGACTGATTTGTTCTATCTCGCCCTATCTCCCAACATACAGCCGACCCCCTTGTAGCATTTGCTTTTCTTCAGGCTTTCCAAGACATATTAATCGATTATTTCGGGACCGTCAACGTTGCAACCCTCAAAGACAACTTTGATACTGTCTATCAGGTAAGATTGCTCATACTATATTGAATCGCTTTATCTCTTGTATACGCCTCCCATCTCTTTTCCGTGATTCGACAATATAAATGGCACTCATCGCATCTGATGGACGTGGTAATATTCGCACTCTTCTATATAGCCCTTTCCCCTACATATACGGTGTCCTTACACCCTCTTATAGCTCCTCGAAGAAACTCTCGACCCATCTGGGCATCCTCTTACTACTTCGCCAAATGCCTTGCGTGATATCGTTCTGCCACCGTCTCTCCTATCCAAACTTCTAGCCTCGCTTTCACCCTCTGCACCAACCTCTTCATCTGGTCGACAAGGTAAATTCTACTCATCCTCCGAAAATTTCATGTATACATTGACTCAAATGGAATAACCCAAGGTGGTATGGGTGGGATAGGCAGCGGTGCCAATGCAGCCTTTGCGTCACCCATTCCATGGCGAAAAGCAGGGGTAAAACACAACCACAACGAGGCACTATTCGACGTGGTAGAAGACATGCAAAGTATAGTGGGACGGTAAGTACATGACTTACTTTGTCCAAAATTTCATCGAAACGCACATTGACTAACGATTATTGGAATCCGTAGAAATGGTGTGACAATCGTTAGCAACGTGTGGGGGAAAATCGAGACTAATGCTAAGTTGTCTGGTAAGTGAGCGTTTAAAGAATCTGTGGCCTCTCCAATTCTGGGATGGGATCTGAACCCTGCTCAACCATACTTTCCCGTCTTGTATCTCCAGGGACTCCCGACCTCACCTTGACATTTACGAATCCGCAAGTCCTTACAGACTGCGCATTTCATCCATGTGTGAGGTAGGTCTACTATCTCTGGTCAGAAACAAATGTTTGACATTTACCACTCTGGGTCAGGCTCCAACGATGGTCGCGGGATCGCTCTTTCTCGTTCATACCTCCAGACGGACGGTTTGTGCTTGCAGAATATCGATACGCGCCGCCACAATCAGTAGTGACTGGAACGTCGGGCATCGTCCCGGTGCCCCTCGTACTGAAGGCAGTGATGGACGCTGGAGAATTTGGTGGTGAGTGGAGCCTTGTCTCTCTTTACGCATCACACAATCTGCATTCTGGTGGTAATTTTGCATAGTAACATAAATAATATAATCACATTTCAACAGGGACGCTCTCCCTGACACTATCGTCGCGCCTATCCACGAAGACAATGGAGAACGTTGAAGTAGAAATTTATCTTGGAGAAGATGCTATTGGTGCACAATGTGCGGCGTCAAGTTCTGGTACTGGTACCGTAGGTGTTGGAGAGGGCGGTGGCTCGTGGACTTTTGATCCGCGGAGAAAGGTGAGTTCTCATGTTCTTGTACATTCTTTGGGTATATGGCGATCAAGCGTGTGAGAGAGCAGTCTAGTGCTGTCGCAACGTGTAATGGAATGCATGTTGTGCCCGAGGTCATGAGAGACGCATACATCCGGGCGATTGGACTTTTTATACACGCTGCGTGGTCCAAGTATGCGTACTGACTGACTAAATATTCCTTCTGTTTATATGACGGGGTGATATAGGTCCTACGTTGGGAAATACTCTCTATGCGAACGTCAGGAAGCTGTATGCTCCGCGGGTCGTGGACGTCGAAGTGAGTTCCGATATGTACTGATTTTAAAGCATGCGTCTTCGGCGACTGATAAATGATGTCAGAGCGAAAGCCCCGCGACCCGCAAGGGCTTTTCAGATCCGCTTCGATATACCTTCCTATACATTTTCGGCTCTCAAAGTCGATCAGCTACGACTGTCCGGGGAGAACTATAAGGTGTACAAGGGAGTACGGGGAAGAAGTCGGGGATCAATCGAATGGAGATGGTGAGAACAATAATACATTTGGAAACCAGTTTAATGTACCATTTTGCAACAATATGCTTGCATTATACGGGGATCCCTGGAGTGATAAGATTCTGTATAAAAGTTAAGGTGTATAAGGTGCTATATATGTACGTGATAAGATCTAGAGCTAGACTGAGCGGTGGACGACTGGAATAAATACGAGCATTACTATCTCCAACTCTCCGCTCCATCATTCCTTGAAACCCACAAAGGACCTCATGACTTTTCCCGTCCACCTGCCCACCTACTTCCTTTTGATGCTGTTCGTGTTTAAATCCACAAACTTAGTATAAGCTTTTACGACCTTCTCCCAGTCGAGGACACTCCAGAATTCTTTCAACCAAGCTTCCTTGCCCCAGACGCCATACCCAGCGCTCATCCAGCAATGTTCGTGCACGCTGACACAGAAAAGAGGGATAAGGACCTCGCCAAGTGACCTTATATCCCGGAACGTAGCGTTGGGCGCGTCTGGCTCGTTTGTGCCAGCACTATAAACCGATGGCCCTGCACCCGCCGTGTCTATTCGGCTTACAGGAGAAGTATGAAGGGTGCGTGAGGGCGAGGAAGGGTTCAGAGACGGCGGGGCACGGGCGAGGCCAGACACAGGTGACGTGGGCGTTGAACCAAGCGTAGCTGACTGAGGATCTGTAGGAGATGGGGAACCTTCGCCTAGGACGGAGTACTTGTCGTCGTATACTTGCCTGCGCGACCGCACCAGAAGAGTACCAGCCGCGAAAGTGGGGAAATAAGCGAGACTGCCCGAGCGATCTGTGACGAGCCACACATAGCCTGTGCCGGCCATACCAGTTGCCGCAGCACAAAATGAAGACTTGAAGTGCTCTAAGGAGCCCATCTGAGAACGGAAAGCAGAGTGTAGGTAAGTACCGTTGAGGTGACCTTCATGATTACCCAGTTCGCCTGGATTGTCTGCCCTAGGCGGAGGAGGTTTCTAGAGGAGAAGATCATGTTAGTCTGCGTTTAGACCTGACATAATGTTGGGAAGACGTACTAAATTGTCAAGGAAGAAACTATTATTGAGGGCAAGGCTGGCATAATTGAACGCCATAGCTTTCTCGTAAGACTGGGACGTGCTCAGAACTATTTGAGCGACCGTCATCTTATCCTCCGCAGTACCTGGACACGAAAGCTCTCAGTTCGTTGTACATTTGCCCACTAGTACCGCACACGCATACCTCTAACCTCGTCATTCAGTCTATCCAACAATCCTTGCTGGTATTCTTCAGCGACTACTTTAAGCGCATTTGGGGGCAAGAAGTTCCCGAGACCCTCCTCAACCTTGTAAGGCAGCTCTTTCCTCGAATGCACATATCTCTTCGTCCACCACTGCTGGCGAGGTAGCTTTGTGCTCTTCCAAGCTGACAGCACACACGACCGCGAGCTCATCGTCGCAGAAGTAGCGAGACGAAGCCCTACACTGTTCATGGCTGTATTTTCTCTGACACGGAAGACTGGGGTAAGAAAGTGCAAGGCTTCGCCTATGAGCTTGGAAATAAAGCAGCCAAACTTTTTTCTTGAGACGCGGTCCCGTTGTTTGGCTGCCGCGACCCGTTTGTTTGGCTCAGTATTATAATATTATACCTCCACATCCTCCACGTCGTCTGTAGCAATGGCCGGCCCAAAATCATCCAAGCCTGCGTCTTCAGCAACAACTGAAGCGGTCTCGTCACTATGGAAGTCTTACACTGAACAGACTCCAGACCGTCTAAAATTCATCGACGCATTCCTTGTCTTCATCATTCTTTCTGGAGTCACACAGTTCCTCTACTGCGTGCTTGTCACCAACTTTCCTTTCAATGCCTTCTTGGCTGGGTACGCCTGCAGATTGACTGGGAAATGCTAAGCTAAGAGTACGGTGATATAGATTCTCCAGTTCCGTTGGACAGTTCGTCCTGACTGCGTCACTGCGTTCGCAAGTCAACCCCGAAAACAGATCGGAATTCAAGGAGGTATCGCCCGAGCGGTGAGCATCATAACTCTGGACATTATACAACTTTCTGACAACCATGTTCTTGCAGTGCATTTGCAGACTTCGCACTCGGTTCGATTGTGTTACATTTCTTTGTGTACAACTTCCTTGGATGAGAAGCATGTATTGTAGAGAGGGATGTAACGAGGTCAACGGCAACCCTATTTCGCAGTAAATTCCTGCAACACTTGCACGTAATAGATATCCCACCCATTGGACTCTCGCTCTTTCGAATGGATAAGGATAGTGATATCTAGATGAATGCCATGTCAATTGCTATTCCTACAAAATGCACAAAGACGAGTGTAAACTATTCGAGAGAATGTGAGTATTAGGTCAGAAAAGACTGTTAATTTCTTCTTTCAAAAGAGCCAGATCTCTGGAGACACGAAGTTAGCTTGGTGAGTATATACATTGTGTCACGAATTGCGAGTTACCCCAAATATGACAGTTGCGAAGTCGAATGCATACTCCCCTTTGGAATCATCAGTAGTTGAAAGCATGTTTCATAAGATATAGAAACTCACCGAATTCGAGGTATGACCGGAGCATCTCTTAAGAAAATATTCGAACAAAATGAGCATTAAACCTGGCCGACATCTTCGCTGCACTACTTACGACGAACATCTTTATTTGGAACTTGAGCTAACGCAGGCCTATGATAGAGACATCGTTTATCGTCCCCATGAATGTTATAACCAAAGCAACCTACGTGAGACCAGTTGAACGCTTTATGCCAGCAAGGAAGGCGCTGATCAGGAGGGCATCTATGCCTAGGTGAAATAGCTTCCCAAACATTGCACCAGAGTATTGATTGAGCCAACGGAGAGGAAAGGCTTTGACTATGTTGTAGAGAAGAGAATCAAGGTGAGCTGTCGCTCTGAGCGCGATGTAACAGTCTAAGCTGGGCTTCTTACTCGATCGCAATTCCCACGGCTGCTTAGGCAAGTACTATCTCGAGTGCTATTAGACATTGTACTCGTAAAATTATCACGAGGTTCGGTTCAATAGCTTTGGGTCTCACAGCTTCAGGACGAACTCAACATTTGAAGGTAAAGGATAAGCGTTCGACTCGCATGGCATAATACAAATTTATTCGTACAACCACCGTTCGGATAACACTACGAGGTACACTCATGTACCGATATCCCGAGATGCGCAGTATGCTCTAAAATGAGCGCAAAGTAAAAATACCATCACCTAATGAGTACCTGGCACTACAGGACGCTTCGATGTTGTAAGAGAACCTGAACAGCCTGCTTCGTGTTATCCTTCTCGTCCTTGATAATCTTGGAAAAGGGCTTGAAGGTTGTCGAGTGGGAATCTCCTGAAGATGAACGCATGAACGTCCATCCATACGACGTCAATAGATACCCACGTTGTAACTGGAAAGCTGCACTCTCGCTCGTGGTTATATAACCTCCTGATTGACGAATTCTAGCGAGAGCATAAGGTACTTCTTCCTTGTTGCAGCTGGACACACCGTCCGCTATGACATGGACGTTGTATCCAGCCTCTACCAAATCGAGAGCTGACTGCAGCACACAGACATGTGACTGTTGCAATGTGGGAAACAGCTGCTAAGCACGGTCATTACAATTAGAAGGAGTATGGACGTACTTCTATTCCGAACAGAACTACAGACTTGAGATTTGGTCGAGCTTTAAGTAGCTCTTTAACTTCTGGCGTGACCATGGAGAAAAGGGTCTTGTCGATTGTTGCAACATGGAGCGATCCAAGGGAAGCGACGTCAATCTCAGGCACGGTAGGACCAAGACCTACCGAACTATGTCGATCCCGATTAAACATCCAACGAATGGCAGCGCTAACCTTTTGGATTTTGCTCAGTCACTACGACAGGTATATCCATATTCTAGTAAAAGTTTAGCCTCGTACAGGATGAAAAATGTATCAGCATTGGACATACCTTCGCTACTTTGAGCATCTTGTTTGCAGTCAAGATGAGGGCATCGAAACCATAAATTGCTTCCCCTATTTACGGCGAAACGGTAATTCAAAACATGTTACAGTGGGTAGTTCAGCGGGCATACGAAACCGGGTTTGCACATCACAAAGGAAGAACACGGTTTCTTGCGGGACGAGCTTAGCGACTTGTTGCATGGGAGACATGATTTGAGCTAAGATTCTTCGAACGTCGTCTGATCCCGAAACTGATAGATCAGTGGAATTTCCAAACAGCGTTGCGCGAACAATAGTCACCTGATGTGATCAGAATATTGCTGCAGGTTCTGCGAAATGAAACAAAGGACGTGGGATTGGGAATGCACTATATTCGAGAATTTCAGGTGGTTGGTCTGAGACGTGAATCATCGGGTGGCGCGAGTTCTCCTCATTAGGCAAGTCTCCGTACGAACGATCCGGACGGCCATATGGCGGATTGACTCTATACTGCAATGCAGACAAAGCATATTATTGAAGCCAATGAACATAGGTTTCGACTGGTAAATATGGCAATAAGATTCGGCTGTTAGGTTTTTATATATATAAAAAGTGAACCTAGGGGTATCAGTGGCGGTAAGGAACGTAGAGACTTTTTTGTGGCATTTTGCAAGGTTCAAATTAGGCCCTGACCGGTGATCGGAGTCTGAATTGGTGTATATGGCTTGTTTGACCCCGTTCGAGTTCCTTGCTGCTCGCCATCACTATCTTCGACGCTTGCCATCGGACGTCCACCGTCGTACGGTCCCTTCCTCTCTTTACAGTCCACGTTCTCTCAGAGACAACTCCATTCTTTAACCCTACCTCAAACACTTAAAAAAATCTAACTTTTCATGATGGACCCTACTCTTGACGTTTCCGACAAGTTTCAAGAAGCTAACACCGCAGCCAGGCAACGGGTGAGTTGTCAATGAATTCACTACCCATACGCGAGGCGCTCTTGTACGACGGTCAAGGCTGATTCTTGTCGTCCTAGTTTGAATCCTTCAAATTGGGCGGAGGCCCTTCCTCTAACCTGCCTAGTCACTTTTCAAAGCCTTCTCACGGACGATCTCGCTCTCGTAACAATTCTATCTCTTCTATCTCGTCTATGTCTGCACTTTCAATTTCTACTTCCACCAATTCAGTTGTATCCACGAACGATATGTTGTCAAATACTCCCTCTTTTCAGAATGGCCACTCCAAACGGCCAAGCTCCCATCATCGACGACGTTCTTCTGTTTCTACCCGCCGCGAGTCGGCGGAAATGATGGGTGTCTCATTACCTGACCTTCCCGTGTCCAAAGAAGACAACATCAATTTTGGCGACAAGGACTCTATTCGTCGTCGAGCTCTTTGGGCACTCGAAGGCAAACCTGATCTTGCATTCTCAAAAGTGGAAATTCCTGAACTTAGTACCCCTGATCTGTCCAAGAAGACGTTTGAATTCCGTAAGTATTATCTTTACGCTGCCTTCCTATCATACCTCATCTTTATCCTTATCCCAAAGCGACCAAGCCGTCTTTCCCTCCCGGTAACGGTGGAGGTGGTTTTGGAGGTGGTTTGAGCAGTCTTATGGGAAAACGCGATTCTTTCGGCAAGCTCGTACCCTCATCATCCTCAGCAAAAGACCAACTCCATACACTTGTTGAGGAGGAAGAAGAAGAGGAAGAGGAAGAAGTTGTTCCGCAAGTAGGACAAGTTGAAGCAGAAACGGAGGCTGCTGTAAATTCCGTTATCAAATCCCCCATACGGCCTCGTCCTGCTAGCTTGAATTTGCGTCCCTTGTCTCTCGTGTCAGGCAGTGTAGTTAGTTCTGCACCTGGAAACTTGCCTACCCCAACTCTTACTCCTAGTCCAAGACCTGTAGGACTACGATCTCTTGCTTTAGCTTCATCTCCCAGTTCAAACCCTTTCTCCCCCTCATATGCCGATGTCACGACCATGAACACGACCAAAACGAAACGCCTATCTGTGATTACTACGCCTTCTAGCAGTACTCCTGTTAATTCGCTTGCTCGTCGTTTTTCCATCACCAGTCAATCCGAATGTCCCTCTCCAAGTGACATGGCGATGAAGAGACGTAGCAGCATCTCGTATAAATGCTCTTCGGACCCTTCCAGGGATATGGTAGTCCCGCCCACTCCCGAGTTGACTCCTACTACAGAGCGTCGATTTTCAGAGGCGAGAGAATCGAGCAGTCTTGAAGACCTCGTGGAACAACCCTTATCCATATCTGAGCAGCATTTTTTATTCAAGTCCCACAACGCGCTCCTCGCTCGCATAACTGATTTGGAGCGCGCTCTCTCTTCGCGAGCAAGACCTCGGTCTAGACCACTTTCTGTCGCATCGGATGCATCTACGCTATCCGAACCTAGTGACGAGATGCTGCAGCTAATTTCGGATCTCAAAGCTGAGCGCGACGAGCTCAAGAGAGATGTTGATGGGTGGAGGACGCGAGTAGCTGACTTGGACAAGCAGGTTGGTGTATTTGCTAAGCGGGTTGAATCAGAGCGGAGAGAAGCTTGGGTCGCCCGCTCTCGCCTAGGCTTACTGGAGGTTGAGAAAACCAATCTGGATAAGGCATTTAGTGAAAAGGCTGCTGCACTCGAGCAGGCTTTGAACGAGCACGATGTCTTAATTAAGGAGCGTGACAGCATGAAGCACGAGATCGACAAGCTAAATGCTCGACTTCAAGATGTCCAGGTCGTTGAAGAGGAGTGCCTTCATCTACGGACGTCTCTTGAACAAGAAAGGAGGAAGGCACAAGAATTGGAAAAGGCCTTTCTTGCTAATAGTCAAATCAGGTCGGCAAGAATCGCTGGTTCGCGCAATCGTTCATCTAACTTCCAATCCGTTAGCTCGGAAAGTTCCTCTACAGATGTGGAGTCTATTGACGACAGCTTCAACAAGGCAGAACTGACACTTAACTCGGTTGCGGAGGAGGAGGAGCTTGAAGAAGAAGAGACCGTCGACGATCTTTCAGATGAAGAGGATGGCCTTGCTGGATACGAGGATGAGGAAGATTCTGATATTAGTTTCCAAAGTCCTGGTGGGTCGTCCATAGGATCGGAGGACGAATTAGACATGCATTCTCCTCCAGGTCTACTCGTTTCTGAGACCATCAGCCGCTCGTGTTCTTCCTCCCCAGTTTCTATCCCCGAGAGGCCTGCACACTCCCACGCACCACATGCCTCACTTTCCAAAACGTGGACTTTCCCAAGAGGGACGCAGTCAATATCTGATCTAAGTGCTGACGACGTTGATCGTTTCTTTGGATGTCTGGATGACCTCGATAACACTCCCCCTATGGGAACCTATGCCTCTTCTGAGGACATGGGCAAAGGGCTGTTTTCGTCAGCTTTTGCGTCTTCCGGAGATGATGAGGACGAGGACTTGCCTCCGTTTTTATTGCCGTCCGACGTTGGTGTAGTCGAGGCTTCTATCAGAAGTTTACCCGTTGTGATAGAAGAGGACGAAGAGGAGGATGTAGAAGAGGAAAGCGATGATGATGACGAAAATGATGAACCGCAGGGCGAGGAGGTTGAAGGAGGAATCATATTTACATTCACTCCACCTGCTATTTGCATCACCCCTGTATTGGATTCGCAGTCTGCTCCTGCTGCGCGGTCTCCAGTCAGGAAGCCTGTCCCTATTTTCGAGCCCTTTGACGATGAAGACGAAAGTGAAAGTGTTCCTTTTACTTTCCCTCAAATCAGGGTTGAACAGGCGGATGAAGAAAAGTCAGACGCCGCTCTGCTTTCGTCACCGTCCTCTGACGATGATGAATTCACTAAGAAGGCTGTGCGCAAAGGCACTAATTCGCCCTCTTCGATACCTCGCTCTACGGCCTTACGGTCGTTTTCTTCATGCACGCCGCCCCCGCCGTCGATCGTTACTCGAGTAACGCTGGCACGTTCTGTTGCTCCAATCAATTATCCAGCCAATACCTTTGTGACCCCTCCTTCTAAACGGGGCGGTGTCATGCCTTCTTTCATACCTCAACCGGTCAACTCTCCTTCAAAACACTCAACGCCAACGAAACCGCGGTCATCGGTTCCTGTATTGCGTCAAGCGCAGGGTCAGCCTGCAACCAATGGTTCGGCATTTAAGCCTCAGCTCAGAGTGTCCTTGAGTACGCCTAACTCACTCTCTTCTTCCGTTTCACAGCCCACAATGAGGCCCACATTTTCGGACAGTCGGATAGCGGCATGGTCACGAGTGTCTCTACAGAACTAAAAGAATCAAGTTCAATCAATTCCACCCTTTATGAATACCCATCAGAACGTCAAGCTCTTTCTTCATCACTATCTTCATTTATGTCTTCACCGCTTGCGGCACGAATTTCATTCCAGTCGCTCTCGAGCTACATCCCTCGTTCTTGGGCTCCAGGTACGGCGGCGGTCGCGTCGTGCATTGGTCCTAGTAACGCTAGCATTTCAAGTATAAACGACGTACAGGCAACTGTTCCGTTGTTGTCTAACGTTAGGACGCGCCCAGTACAGAAGGGGGGGTATGTATCTAAAGAGAAGCAACTGGAAAGATTGAAAAGCCGAATGGATCAAGAGCGAAATGTTCAGCTCCATCGTTGTATGGCTGTCCATCCTTGCAAGAGTTGTCAGGGTCATGACATTTTCCTGTAAGGTAAGTAGCAGTAGCTCATGCATCACTGACAGATGACATCCCCTGACTGCCTCACTCAGCCGCCATACTTAATGTATCCTTTTTATATCTTTTCTCTATGATCCGTTGCACGACGACCACATTTGCGTCTTCTTCGACATGTCCACATATTTTGCTACTTCCCTCTGGACTTTTTTATTATTTATACCTATGACTGTCTGTGGCAGTCACCACCGGGGAGAGTTATGTTGTGATGTGTCAACGCTGTTGTCGCTTGTACTTATAAACTTAACGCACCTTGAAGGACATTTTTTGAGGACTATCTTCGTTCATGCTCATACTTTTCACCGCTCTATACATGTCTATGCCTGCTTTTGATACTGTTACTGCATGGAGTTGAATGAAAGTGCAACTCCTCCAGTAGCTTTTTAAGTCTAAGAGAACTTGCTCATAAGACGTCGACACCACCCGGTCTTTTCCGCAGGTCAGGGCGTGGGAAATATAGATATACGCACAGTTTCCGCCGCGTCGTGCAACAACTTGTGTCTTCAACGTTATTTTATTACTCGCCATGGCTCAAAGATCCTCCAGACAATTCATGCGACACTGGTTCGCCATTGAGGTGATTAAATCAGATATATTATGTCTGACGAGCGCTCATTCATTGCATTTTAGGCCATCCCTATGTAAGCTTAACACACACATATTCCTAGTCCAAAATGTGATTCTGACAACGTCATTTTGCGTGGACAGTTATGCGGTCATTGGGTTGGCAGTTGGTGGTGCAGGTTGGTACTTGACCAGGCTTGCTCGTGGACCTACTGGTGCGTATTTGTGACTTTGCAAATCAGTAGCGGCTTTAACGTTCCGTCGGTCAACAACGTAGTGGTCTGGACGAAGAACAACCCAACTCCTTGGAACGACGTCAAACCCGACGAGAACACCAAATTGATGGCCGTCAACCAACAGTTCAACAAAAGGCAAGGCATTTTATCGTACTATGTACTTGTGCTGGTTCGGTTGCTAACATACTGTTATGTGCTAGCTGGTCGCGGGACAAGCTATAAGAGGCTACTGAGACTTGTGATTGACGCTTTCGGAAAATCGCTGTTATTCTGTACAGAGAAATCATATCCGTTCCTTTGTCTACTTGATCCCTCGTGTTATCCGGTTACAATTCCTGTCAGGTGAGGAAACTGGAGGTAAGATTTAGGAAAGTTTGGATTGCCGGCCCGGCAGTAGATCGACCTGCGCGGTACATAATAAAATGGACGCTTTCTTAAGCAGCCCCCCTTTGCTTTCGACTGTCTTGCTCCTCTATTGTAGTTGATTGGAGTATCAATTCTGATTTTTTTTTGATTATCTGATTTGTCGGTTTCTAGTGGTTACATTATCCTTCTTTATTTATCTTCCTTTCTATTCTGCCAGTGCGATACACGCGAACATGGTTTCTCGTCTCGACGATCCACAGCCTACGTTCCCTTTGCCGCCAATCGAAGAGATCCCAGATGAGGTGGAGGACAAGCCCCTGAAGGATAAACTGATAGTGGGTAGTCTGGAGTGGCAGATGCTCAATCTTTCATCCTGGTTTGACGATAATCATAGGAGACTCGTTTAGGAGCTTTGGATCTGCCTCCAGTCATCTTTGGGGCTGCATCCTTCTCAGCGTTTTATAACGCGGCTGATCATGTAAGCGGGGTGATACCCGTTCGTACTACGAGACTTGCGCTCCGGTAAGCTCTCTTATTGCAGCTGGCGTATATTGTGCTCATAATCACGCGTCAACCAGCTACGGTATTCGTGCGTTTGACACTTCGCCATACTATGGGCCATCGGAGATTATTTTGGGAAATGCGCTGAAAGCCCTTGAACAAGAGTTCCCTCGGTCATCATATATCATTGTGGGTATTTCATCGATCTGACGTGCCACCTCTTTTCGTGTGACTGAGCCTGATATCCGTGTTATATAGATGACGAAATGCGGGCGATTTGGCAGTGATCCAGCCTCTTTTGACTATTCACCGAAGGGTGTCCGCGCCAGCGTACAACGTAGTCTCACACGGCTACACACTTCGTATCTCGATAACGTATATTTGCACGACGTTGAGTTCCTAGCTAATTCTGTTGCTCCTCGCTTGTCGGGCAGCCATCTTGGGGCGTTAGGAGCAGAAGAAGAAGCATATGGGCTGAATGAAGGGCAAGAGAGTAAAATCTGGGGAGAAGGAGATCAAAAAATATTAGGGGCAATTGGAGAGCTGAGGAAAATGCAAGAGGAGGGAATCATCAAGAACATCGGTATTAGTGGTACGTGTCTTGTATTTCTTGTATTTCTTCTTATTCCTCATCACGACTCACTGTGCGGCTCGTGTTGCAGGTTATTCTTTACCAACGCTCCTTCGCCTGACTTTGCTCGCCTTGCACACGGCGCCTTACAAGCCCTTGGATACTCTACTTTCCTACTCGCATCTTGACTTGCAGAACGCTTCTCTGGAGGCATTCCTGCCTGCATTCTATGAGCGGGCAAAGCTAAGACAAGTTCTCACTGCCTCTCCATTCAGTATGGGCCTCCTCACCCACTCACCTCCCTCATGGCATCCTGCATCTCCCGAGATCAAGCAGGCTGTTGTGGACGTGTCGCAGATCGTAGAGTCTTGGAAGGGTGGGCTACCTGATGTAGCATTAGGGTATGCTTTTCAGAGGGCAAAAGTGCAAGGGATGCCGATTGTTGTGGGTCTGAGTACGCTGAAGGATGTGCATGAGAGTGCAAGGACGTGGAAGGAGATTGAAGGAGGCAGCGAGGAAGAGAGAAGTGGGAGGAGGAAATATGAGCAGGACGCGAGGAACTTGTTTGAGGCACGGGGCTTGTTGGACCACTCATGGAAAACGCCATCTTTCTAAGAGATTGTCCATGGTCAATGTTTTCTTAGCTGCATATACAAGGTGAAATGTTATCAGATATCGCTCTAATTTACTTGGTTCGTCAAATTTCTTGGTTTTACACCCGATCGTCCGCGACATTCCCTGCTGACGAGTAGGGTTAGGGTTGGGATGTGTGCCATTTCCGAAGATTCTGGAATGTTCAAGAGCTCGGGGAGAAATATCACGGAGAGTATAACAGCAAGTCGTTACTCGGTATCAGAAAGTCTGAAAAGTACTATAAAACCAATTCAGCAACTATATAGACTGCAGCACAAGTAAGTCGACGACCAACACCGATACTCCAGATGTCCGACGTACGTCTTATATACCTCTCAAGTGCCAGAGATGTGGCTAATATTTATCTTATCAGGCAAACGCATTGAAGGACCAGGGCAACAAAGCCTTCGCGGCCAAAGACTACGACAAAGCTATCGAACTCTTCTCGAAGGCCATAGCCCTTGACCCACAAAACCATGTTCTCTTCTCAAATCGCAGCGCTGCTAAAGCAGGAAAGAAACAATATGATGCCGCACTAGAAGATGCTGAACAGGTACGTGATGGTACTTTCGGCTGTAAATCGCAGCTTGCAGTTATAGCAATTGCTCTTGAGTATCCTGTTAACGCAATCCTCGCGTTTTCTTGTTTTGGGATTCTAGTGTGTCAAAATCAATCCCGCTTGGTCAAAGGGCTATGCGAGGAAGGGTGCCGCACTTCATGGCGCCAGGCGATATGACGAGGCGATCGAGGCGTACGAAGGAGGACTAAAGCTCGAGGACAGCCCTGCACTGCGCAAGGGTCTGCAGGAGGTAAAAGATGCCAAGTGTACGCATTTCCTCCTATCATTTCATTTAACTTTTCGTACTCACATACACGTTATCTATCGTTACCTCATACTATGCACTTCATCGCACCTCAAATCACGACGCTCTGGATCCACACTAATCTGATATATTATAGCGAAGGACGTTAAAAGTGACGGCTCGGAGGCGCTTGGGCTTGGCAAGATGTTTTCCGATCCAAACATCCTTGGGAAGCTCGCAACGAACCCCCGGACACAGAAACATCTCGCTGACCCATCGTTCGTGCAGAAGGTAAGCGACAGATCCACACTGATTCCTGTGGTTTGGCGCGTGTGTACATGCTAACATGCGCATGATGCTCTCCGTAGATTCAACTGATCCAGCAGAACCCTAAGTTAGCGGACACGTAAGTCTTATCTGATACTTTGCGCTCTGGTGCTCATTTTCTAACCTGTTGCATACGTTGTTGCAGTGCGCTTCAGGATCCACGCATGATCGATGTCCTTGGTGTACTCATGGGTGTGGACATACAGGGCTTTAGCCGAGAGGAAGGATCCGACGAGCTACCGCCGGGCCTATCAAAGGCCACCCCGCCCTCTCCTCCTGCATCACCTCCAAGAGCCTCTTCTTCATCTACCCGTGCATCAAAGCCAGCCCCTGCACCGCAGCCAGAACCAGAACCAGAAGATGTCGAGATGGACGAAGAGGAAGCGGAAGAGGCTAAAGCCAAAGCAGAAGCGGAGGCCGCGAAGAAACGCGGGAGCGAAGCATACAAGAAGCGCGACTTCGCGGATGCTGCCAAGGAGTTCGAGAAGGCGTGGGATCTGTGGCCGAAGGACATAACATTCTTGACAAATTTGGGCGGTGAGAAATACATGATGCTCTTTGAGTAACGGACTGCTGTGCTGACTTTTGTTCCAATGTGGTAGCCGTCTACTTTGAGCAGGGCAACTATGAGAAATGTATCGAAACGTGTGAGAAGGCGGTTGATGAAGGTCGTTCGGTACAGCTACCCCATATTTTGCCGTTAATATCACCCCCTAAGCTTATCACCTCCCACACAGATTCGCGCAGATTACAAACTCGTCGCAAAAGCTCTTGGCCGCATCGGTAGCGCCTATACCAAACTTGATAACCTCCCTCAAGCCGTTAAATACTACGAAAAATCACTCACAGAGCACCGCACACCAGATATCCTCAACAAGCTCCGCGAAACTGAACGGTCTAAAGCTGAAGCTGACCGACTCGCTTATATTGATCCTGCCTTGAGTGAGGCTGCGAGGGAGGAAGGCAACGCGTTGTTTAAGAGTGGAGACTTTGTGAGCGCTGTGAAGAGCTACACGGAGAGCATCAAGCGGGACCCGAGTGATGCAAGAGGTTACAACAATCGGGCGGCCGCGTACACGAAGCTGGTTGCGCTCCCTGAAGCACTGAAAGACGCGAACGAGGCCATTAAAATTGATCCTAAATTCGGTAAGTGTGTTGCAAGGATACTTCAGCGTACATGGAGTCGATGCTGATGTATGAAACCACAGTCAAAGGATACATTCGTAAATCGAATGTACTCTTCGCTATGCGGGACTACACGAAAGCCATCGAGGCTATTCAAGAAGCATCGGATCACGACGAGGACCACAAGCACACGTCTGAGATTCAACAACAAGAACATAAGTGCCAGCAGGCACTCTTCACGCAACGCTCAGGAGAAAACGAGGAAGAGACTCTGCAGCGAGCGATGAGGGATCCAGAAGTTGCAGTGAGTATCCGATCCGCACGATGATATATTAGGACGGAACCTGACCATTCGTGTCTGATCGTCAGAATATCATGAACGATCCTGTCATGCAACAGATTCTCCAGCAAGCACAGGGTAACCCAAGTGCCTTGCAGGACCACATGAAGAACCCTGGTGTGAGGCAAAAGATTATGAAGCTGGTGAATGCGGGTATCATCAAGACGCGGTGATGAACGGGTGATGTACAGCGGGCCCGTAAAGCTGTGGTTGGCGAATCTCTTGTGTACGATGTATCTGCTGTGCTGTCGAAGCTGTTTTCGATATTAGGAAGTAATACCGTTGAAGGGGCAATGTGTGTGTTACGTGTGTATATTCTTGGGATCTTATTTCAATGAAGTGACGTTTAATTCCTACCGCTGCGGTAGTCTCCTTAAGCTGTCAGTGCATGAAGTCACGGTTGCAGCGATCACTTGTACATCCCCCTGACTCTCTGCGATTTTGAAGGGGCCAATACACTTCGGCGTAGTTTCTTGGTTCTTCCGTAGTACATACTCTGCTTGTCGTCGCCTATTGGCTTGATGAGCTTGGAATACCCGGCTTTCAATAATTGTATTGTGAGCCATCGACTGATTTCCTCAACAGCCTCTTCGTAATAAACATCGATAAGCGGTGGTCATAACCTCATGGCAATTGGTACTAACGGTGTTCCTGCAGCTGGGCCCGAGGTGGCAAATGACGACCGGGTCCTTCTCTGAAAACTGGAATGAGTTGGAAAACAACTGCAGCGCCGCACTTATCGGGGAAATTCAGCGTGAAACTGCCTGTGTAAAGATCAAGCTCGGTTCTGGCATACTGAAACCATCCACCACCATTCATTAATATTCATTCCTAGAACAATGCCTTATCCAGTCCCACCGTTTGTCGATTCGACAAGGTCCCGACCAACCCCTCGGAGGGGGCTTTACAACAAACTTCTTTACATCCCGTTTACGGTTGTTCCCCAGTACATGCCCATTTCGCGCGGGCCAGCCGTTTTCCTGTCTTGTTCGAGGTCTTGCTTGAGGATAAACCTGTCCTCATCGTGGAGCTGAAACCACCTGGGGATCTTCGTTACGCTTCCAAGCGTGAAGCCGCCGATAAACACATCCGAGATCGCGTTAGGGATATGATCGGTTCGTCGGGACTACTTCACTTTTACCGGTTGGTTCCCTTCGACACTCGCAGATGATGATTGTCCCATCCCCGTTCCCATATGCCATCAGTGTGATGGGAACGAAATTCTGCTTCTTCGCCAGACCGCGATGTCCCGGCCAGCCTGTTTCATCCGCTGGCCATTTCCCCTGATTCTCAGTGCGGGACCGACGCTGCACCCCGGGAGCGCTGGAACTGCGATATTTCCGAGGAAGAGGGGGAACGAAGATTCCGAGCGATGGTTGAAGAGATAAAGCAGGCGTGTGCTGCTCTCTAAGGCTCGGCGGACGAGGTCCAGAGCAGGAGCAAAAGTCGAAGTTGGCGCCGATCGCGAGATGCTTGAATCGAGTCAAGAGAATTATATTTTGAACGGTTTAATGGGTGAGACCCAGGGAGACCGACAAGTCTGATACTCAGACTTGGTACCCCCATGGCATTACAACGGGTCAGACCGCGATACGGAGTGCCACCTCACCGGCACTCCTATCCATCCATGGTATTTAGTCGCTAGCTGAATATTCATTTACTACTCTACCGACGTTAACCTCCAATGATATTTCTTCAAGACAAAGAAGGTGATGCAACGGGTGAATATAGCCTTTGGCGAGGTTCCCTTTGATGAATTCGTCTGCCTCCTCTAGTTCATACGCGGATAGAGGCTAGATCTTGCTGAATCTGAGAATAAAGTTCGGCGTGGTTTTGATAGTGTGATCCCAGGAGCGTGAATTGCGGGAAGGCCCCGAGGCTGCTTTCTCGAGGACATCGCGATCTCCCCTTGACAAATTAACAAAGATAAAAGACCCATACCCGAGCCTAGGAGGTTGCTGCCGGAGCAGACATGAACAGCTCGCTGGCCGATGGCATCGCTTACATGCACGTATGGGATAAGTATGTACACCGGTGGCCGCAGTGTATGGTTGTACGATTGCTGCTTCCCCTTCGAGTATCAATATCGACGCTACATGAGGTACTTACAAAACTACACCCCCCTCGAACGTTCCATACCGTGACTCAGCCCCGCCTTTGTCGCCTTTGGGGGACCAGAGGTTGGGGCTGGTGTCATGATTGTGCCTCCTGATAGACTGATAGCGGGCGTTTGCTTGTTTTGTTGATGACTGGTGAAGTGCCTTGTAGATATCTCCCTGACATGAGCATATGGTCAAGGGATCTCCTGTATCTGATAGTATTGACTCGGATATGTTCCATACAAATACGCGTACGAGTATGGCTGTTGTGTCTGCGAACCTGGATGGCAAGCCTGAATTGAATGAGGTCACACTTGGGTCACTCTGTGACGTGTCTCGCCCGCCGTTGTGACCCCGCTGGGCGCTGAGAGTGACATTGATCCCGCCTTCATCGCATAGTATGTAGTGCTAGACGACCGCGATAGATCTCCAATTGCAAATGTCACACTATCAGCTCATAATATCAGTAACCACAACGTCATCCCCAACCCGTCGCCATCAATCTGTCTTATCACTTGGGCGGAAACTGCCACATAAGTAAGTCTTTTAAGCTTTCTACGCGCAATTAAATGCTTGGAGTATATCAACTCTGACGCCGGTTGCGCTCAATACCGATTCCAAGGTGGTCACGAGTGCGGTAAAGTTCGTCATGTTGTCAAATGCCATCGCTCTTTTACCGTAACTTTACTACCTCGTCCTAGTCCCGAATGATCTATATCCCGAAGCATCCACCCTAGTTCTTCATCTTTCTTCCCATGAAACACGCGTAAAGTGGCCCCGTTCGAATGTTCGCTCTTACTACGCTTTTCTCTCGAATTCTGGACCCAATTCTACGACGATGCTGGCAAAATTGCCGTTTACCTACAGTGCATCATCCTTCCGATCGAAGCATTCCGACCATGTCTTTTCATCAAGTTCTAGGTTCATCCCGCTCCACAATGAAATAAGTAGATTCTCAAGTTATTTCCAGTCGCATTGCTGGCATTCTGGCGTTCTGGCGTTCTATGACCAGTCTGGACGCCCGCAAATGTGGACTCGTGGGTGGGAGACGATCGTTTTTGATTGCCTTATACACAAGACTTGAGGCCCGCATCCCCTTCGGACCCTTCTGTTGTATATTGCTGTGCGATGCTATGTCACCTTTTTTTTTGCGACGTACGCAACTAATCGATGTGATAGGTGGTGGTAACGTTACTACTCTTAATGTATATGGTCAACGGCACCCTTCAGGTTGGATAGAACGACACGCGGCTGGGGGCAGCCCCGTGACACCTCTTCATCTTGATCCAACCGGCTCATCTGTGTGCGACGCCTTGCTGCGTTGACTTAGGGTATTACCTCCACCTTCGGAGCCTTCTCCCCCCAGAAAAAAAGCAACTCGCACGAGAAGGTAAACGGAAAATTATATAGAATAAAATAATCTTAAAAAGCTGACGACAATGCTGTTAGTCAACGTGGATGGGCTCCGGTATTAATCGAGAATCGGACGAGATTCACATCAGACTGTAGTGCCAAACTCCAGGCGTGACGGTTCAAGTCTCTGAAATGAAATCAAAAAAGTCTGCAGGACTTGAGTGAGAGATATGGGGGTGAGGAAAGGTGGAAGTTTGGCGTTATAGCCTCGGTGGAGTGGGTAAACTTCGCAGAGTTGAGGTAAAAGAGTAGTATGTTCATTATCGAGACGGCTCTCCGTTCTCCGTCTCTGAGATCTCAGCTCGGAGGCCGTCATCAGGACTGACATCCGAGTGTAGATGTGCTAGGTTGGGTTTGGACTGTAAGAAGGACATGGGCTAAGTATGGTGTTCACAGCTTGAATGAATACACTACAACGTACGAATACATGATGACGCCAGGACTGTGGTCAGGCCCCCTAGACCATAAATAGCGCTGAGTTCAAGTTAAGTTCGGGGGAAAAAGGCAAAAGGAGGGGACCAAGGGGCATGCACGTAAAAGGGTACGAGCAGGAAAGTTACTTTTGGAATTTCAATATGTCCTTTCGCGATGTGAGCTTGGGAACCTGTTGGTTTTTGAACGCTCGTGAGCTCTGGCGTGCCAGGAACGCGGGGAGAGATGTAAGGAACAAGGACGTCCGATGGCTGTCAATAGGACCTGGGAGAGTGAGCAGAACGGTAGCTTGTTTGACCTAGGTCAGATGACCGAAGACGCGCATGACACTTTTTGTTCGTAACGCTGGAGGAGGGGGGTATATGAATCGCTGAAAACGTCGAGCTCTGGTGGAACGCCACAGTTTTTTCCTAATCGGAAAAGGCGACAGGTCGTAAAGCTGAGTGTGCTTTCTAGCGAAGTAGGTCGGCATCGGCGGTGAAATAAGAACGGGATCGGTAAGGGACTTGAAGGTGAAAAGACGTAAGAAAGATTAGAGAGTTCGGAATGAGATGGGGATCTGGTTTAGACTGGATGAGTATGATGGAATTGGGTTGAGAGATAAGAGGTGCGTGCAGGTCATGTCGGGATGGACCGGACCCAAGTGGGAGGAAAAGGAGCTAGGCCTGGTTTGGACACGGAAAAGAACTGACGGGTTTCCGGGTCTTGCTCGAATGGTGGCAAGCGCTGATTGCGGTTCGATCATTGCGGTACTTGGTCGTGTTGCGCTAAAGTGCTGGGTCGCCATCATGATCAGGAATTGCAGTCAGCACCATATGAGGGGAGCCAATCTGGATGCATGCGGGAGATGAGATCAGAAGAGAAAGGAATATGGGAGGAATGAAGTACTGCGGGGCATGAGAAGAGAAAGAGGATGGAATGATGGTGTTTAGGTTGGGCGTGACAGACATTATTGACGTGCCTCCACTCTGCTCTGAATCTTAGGATTAGATCCCGATCGCTGCGCCACTCGATGCAGACGGAAGCTAACCCATGCTTTGCCAAACGAGGCATTGTCAGAGCTGCCTATGTGGTCATATGCCTCCGCTGCCTGCCACCGGTGTTTTATAAAACAGAGGCGCAAGAAAGGGAGAGGACCAAGGCTGGACAGTGATTTGGGTTTTTTGGTTGGTGGAGTTCATATAGCCATAATGGAGGAGTGAGTGATTGAACGCCGAAGCAAGTCATCTGATTGGTCGCGGCGTCTCACGCAGATGGCGGGCCGGGGAGGGCATGCCGGAAATAGGCTGTCCCTGGGGACGTGAGTGGACCCCGGAGAGCGGTAGCGATCGACGGTGGACTTGACGGCGATGAGGTGGGCGACAACGGGGGTGAGGGAATTGCAGAGAAGGGGGTGGCTGGGGGCGGATGCTTACGAGATCAGAGAGAGGACGAAGAGAACACACAAGGGAGAGAATAAATTTATTACTTATTCGAAAGAAAACCCGGTCCTATTTTCAATTTCGAAAGACTGTTTCCACTTTTCATTCGGTCCTGGCCTGAATGCTTACATCCTGAGTCTCCCCGCGTCCTCTCTTGCTGTCTCCCTCTGCTTTCCCATCCTTGCTCTCCTTTTGCTCTCTCCTCCTGCTCACATGCCCGACGATGCCACACCGAGTTCAGCTGGGGGAGGTGCCTCCTCGTCATCTTCCTCAGCTCCGCGTCCGAAACAGCCTCGTGCTGCCACAACCGGAACTGTCCGTTCGCGAACAAGCCCCCCTCCAGGCGAACACGAAGGCCGTCCTCCCACAAAACGTGCCAGAAAAGCCATCAACTGCGAACCGTGCAGAAACAGCAAACTCAAGTGCGACAGGTAGCGCGCTTTCCCCCCATCCCTTCTTGCCATCGCTTACCCTTCCCCGCCATCTCTACAGGAATAGACCTTGCTCATCTTGCGTCTTGCGAGGTCAGTCGAGCCGCTTAAGAGCTAATCTCTGCGCTAATCCAATACGCCAATCTTTCGTCTGTGCATCAAACTTATAATTGCTCTTTATAGGCACTATCGCTCTGTGCTACCAAGATGCACGAGGTCACGATCCCAGCGACGCTCAAGTCCGCGGAGATGACCCGTATGTCCTTAGCCTTTGCCAGTCCCTCTCTACGCTAATCTAGACCCATTAGTGCCTCTCGCATAGACCCTCTCCAAGAAATAAACCGTCTGCGCCACTCCGCCTCTCTCCTTGAATCCTACTTCCTCGTCAACAACCGTGGAAACATATCCCTTCCTCCAAATCTAAAGCGCCCAGCAGACCCACCATCTGTATCCCCAAAGAAGGAGCCAGCAGAGGCTGATCTCTACGAGAAAGACAATGCCCCAGGTATGCTGGGAAGCCAGGGCCATGGATTATATGCAGGTCCTACCAGTGCAGTCACCCATCTGTCAATGGTACGCATATACCTTATCATTCCCCTCTTTTTCCCTCACTATTCATCGCAGAACGACAATCGGCAGTCTGAAGAGTCTGGCGACCGCCAGGCAAGCCAGGAAGGCCAAGCGTCAGAGGAGCTCTTACCATCCACTCATGAATACGACCGCGATCTCCTCAACAACCTCCCCTCCCTTGAGACTATCGATGGCCTTGTCGACTACTACTTTGAGTACTGCAACTGGATCTACCGCCACGTCAACCAAACCGCGTTTACGAACGCCTGGGCACGCTTTAAAACGGGCGCATCGCCAGATCGCATCGTCCTCGCTACCGTATGTCTTATCATGGCCGTTGCAGTGCACTACCTCCCGCCCCGCGATCCACTCGTTGAAAATTTGCATGAGAGCCACGAGGAGCTCGGCCGCAAATTTCACGATGTCATGCTCATCGCGCTCAGTCGCCATCGTGCAGAATCAAGAGCATATAGTCTCGAACTTGTAGAATTATTACTGATCCGAAGTCATTATCTCACGCTTGTAAAGACGGATAGCGAAGAGGTATGGACCGTCAGAGGTGAACTGATTACTATAGGAGTGGCGATGGGTTTGCATCGTGATCCGTACAAGTGGCGAATGTCCAAGGAGACGGCAGAGCGCAGACGGTGGGCATGGTGGCACATCATCCTCCTCGAAAGGTCTGTATATTTCCTTATATGCGCATATATGTGTGTTTCCCAAAGCAAGGCTGACGATCTTCTACTATAGATGGCAAGCGTTCATGTTCGGACGTCCCATCACGATCGCTTCGCATCACTACGATACCCTTTTACCCGCCCAAAATGAATCTTCCCGTCTTTATCTTCCTAATATTGCTCTCTTCCGCCTCGCCCACATCCTCGGCGACATCATGGACAACGCAGTCTCCCTCCGACCCGTTCCTTACGAAGCCGTTCAGGCTAATGACCGTGCCCTCACTCAGTGGATAGATACCCTCCCGAATGAGCTCAACCTCGACGAATTCCGCATCGCACGCAGCCTCGCTAGCCCAGATTCAAGTGCACGACGCCTGGGCGTGCAGAGCGTCATCATCCGCACTTCATTCTACCACATCCGATTTACACTACATAGACCCTACGCCAGCGCTCCCCCACCCTCTATCTCCCCTAGCAAGCCAACCGACAGCTCTTCAGCGACTCGCCAGGCTATGTCCCTTGAGACCGCCGTCGGCGCTGCAGATAAGCTGATTACCCTCGTCGGTCAGGCGCGCCCCGACTTTCTCGCTAATGTTTCTCTTGCTGTCCCGGGCCACATGAATTGGGGCCCGTTCCATGTGTTTTCAGCTGCCATGTTTTTCTCATTTCAGCTTATCGCGAACCCAGACCAGCCTGGCGCATCCCTTTTCCGCGCCAACATCCGCAAAGCCATCTCCACCCTCGATCTCTCCCGCACAGCGCCCCTCGCAGACAAAGCGTTCGACATTCTACAAGCTCTTGCCCCTCTCTACTCTGCCGAATTCCAGGACGAGCCGAGAGAGGAGAGGGAAAAGAAAAAAGCCAAAGTCTTGGGGATGGTCAAGACGCTCGCCTTTCCTTATCACGACGGCCCGAAATACCCGCGATCATTGGGCGACTCGCCCAGCGCCGGCGTGTACGCGAGTTCACCTGCAACCTCCAATTCGGTGAGTCCGCCTGGGATGGGCACCATGACAGGCTTGCCTCAGGGGCAACCAGGGTCGCAGGAATTTGTCAACGTAACGTCCCAGCCACCGCCGTCGGGCATGCAACGTCAGCACGGTCCGTCGCCTGGCTCGATACACATGCGTCCGGCGCCGGCTCAGTCGTCGTCGTCTCTGGCAACGTACGCTGCGCAATCTGCACATGCTCAGCCTCATCCACCGCCTCCGCACATGCAGGCTTCGGGCATGGCAGCGCCGCATCCACACTCGCACTCGCACCCACCCCCACATTCGCAGTCTATGCCTCCGCCTCCGCACCCTGCGTCTATGCACAGCGGGTCCGTCTCGGCGTCTCCGCCCTCGCATCCATCGTATCCCCAGCCATCGCAAGCACAAGCACAGCAGATGTATGGTGACCCCACGCGGTATCCATACATGTATCCTTCGGAAGATGAGGCAATGTGGGGTCCGGCGCTTTCGCAAGCGGAGTGGGTGCGTTTTCTGGATGCGATGCAGCGGTCAGACGGGTCCAATGGGCGAGGGCCAGGGCCATAGCTGTCATATGATATCATGACCTTTGATCTTTTCAGTTGTTTAGTTGTTTAGCTATATCTCATGCTTTCATCTTTTCTCGCTATATCTTGTTTGTTGTATTGAGGGGATCTATTTGCATGTTACGTATACCATTTCATTTTTCCTCGAAATCCCCTCTGGATACCTACCTGTGCTTTTAAATCCTGTCATCGTTATTCTATCTCGTTTGCACTGTATATGGAACTCATAAATATATCGCATCGCTCATATTCTTCACAGATATAGTTTTATTTTTTGGTTTGCAAAAGAGCATGATATATAGCAAAGTTAGATAAGGGACTGGTTGGCCTTTTGCATTCGCTTCACGCGATTGCTAATCTCTTTTTGCAGTTCCCGCTGTAGGGCTTGCCCTCGTGAGCTGAGATCGTTTTGTGAAGCGGCGGCGATGAGCACTTGATCGATGAGCGTATAAGGCAGCCATGTTGACGAGGCAGTTTTAGGTGGGTCACGAGCAAGTCGTGCATCAGACTAGAAAGAAGGGATAAGTTTAACTCTGTGATGAAATTCGCGAGTAAAAATAGCGCACCTTTCGAACGAGCGATAACGTTTGCTCAAGAGCACCCTCAAAAATTTCAAAGCGCAGACTCGACCGAATGAGATATTCAGGATGATGGTCCTGGATGAATAGAATAGGGTCAGTCAGGGAGGGCCCCATATTCAGCATTCAAGGGTATACATACTTCCAGCATGTGAATAAGCCATGGTGGTGGAGCTGTTGTTCGATCAAATACGAGTATAGTTTCTAATGTTGCCTTGCTGTAGGAGTAGTCAGTTTCAGCACTGTCGTGTCTCTCGAGCGATTGACGCAGGAACCGCCATCCTCGATCCGCCGGTGAACCTGGCCACGAAGAGACGTTATCTGTCAGTAGCCAGTCAGACGTGTCCTCTTGCCTGCATCAATGGTTCAATTTTGGGATAAGGTGAAGCGGACGCCCTACAACGGAAACTCACATGACGGAATCCGGGTTTCGCGATAGACGAAGGCACTGGTTTGTTAATATGCTGAACAAGTCACTCATGTCAACCCGAAGACTACGGGCAGTAGCCAATGCCACCGAGAATTGACCAGCCTGTCCTAATCTCAGAACTATAGATGCGGGAGATAGGAGTCCCTCTGCAGGAGGAAAGATAAAGTATTTTGGTGTGCTTCCGCGTAAATTAAACGCATAATCACTCACCCGCCGCCGAAATCAAGGACGGCTCCCTCCGAATCACGTTCAAACGCGCTGAGAGAAACGCGTGGTCGTATTGAATGTCGTTCAACTCGACGATCTCCGAATCTGGCTTGTCGACATTAAAACTGCTCGCGGGAATGTTCGTTGACAATTTGCGCCGTTTGCGCGACTGTAATAGGGGGTTTAGCATGATACAATTTATCAATTTCTTGGGCAAATTTACCTCAGAGCCATTCTCAGGAGATGCGGGAATGACAAACCATGCACCTTTTTGGTCTAGAAGGGATAGAGAGTTCATAGCGAGCAAGTACCCCTCGATTTGCTCTTCAGAGAGTGCTACAAAATCAGCGGGATTGGCGGCTAAATCTTGAAGCTTGCGTGCTCGCTGGTATATGGTACGAGCAGCTATGCATAGGCAATAAGATCGAGTAACCTCAGGAGCAGTTCTTGATACTCACCGTTACGGTGATCACCTCGACTAGTATACCAAGCATATAGAATCCTCGAGTAGAACGGACAAATGCGAGGGTCTGTATTTCGTGCCTTGAATGCCAGGGCATCCTCGACCTCGGCTGCCAAGCCGGCGAAATTGAATGACATCAGTTTCTCTACCGAGTTTTCCTCGCACATCCTGTAGACTACATGGCTTACACATTCCCGTTTCCTACAAGGGAGTCCCGTAAGATTCACCGTTCAATACAAAACACAGGAGTACACTCACAAGCTACCATGAGGAGTCGTTACGATTGACGAGTAAGCGTCTTCGAACCTTCCCAGCTCGGTGTAACCCCGGATTATGGTATACCATAGTTCCGCGGTATCTACATGTGGGGGCGATGTTGCTAAAGCGAGACGAGCAAATGAGATTTCGTGATAGGTTAAGGCAGCAGATTTGAATAGGGATGTAGCATGCAAATAGAAGGTAAACTCGGAGTCAAAAAGAACTGCTCCAGGGAGGACGGCAGCGAGTGATTCATCGTCCTCAAACGATAATCCACTGTTATCGCCTAGAATGGCAAGCCTATCAGCGATTATCTTCGACCGGCGAACGTTAACCACTTACCGAAGCTTCCTGCCATCTTTTCCATCAGATAAGCAGCATCATCAACGCGTCCAAGATTAATCCACAAACGGGCTTGGACGTAAACAACACCCGGGGTCCTAGGCAGCCAAGATAGCATTTCCCGCGCTACTTCATAATAACCAAGAAGTCTCAGGCGCTCGCAGAACAAAACCTCGAATTTGGTGACGTGTGTAGGGGAGGTTGATTGGAGCAGACCAGTACTGTCTAGAAAACGATGTGCTGCGCCAGGAAGATCGCCCGTTTCGTTATGCTGTGATAGGAGACAATGTATAAGCGAGTGGGTTGGTGCTAAACGAGAATGGGTCCTAGAGACTTGCATATTGCTCATTCGCGTGATAACGTCGTCCGCCGTCAGACTATCTTCTGTAGCTATTTTCCTTTCAGAAATATCTGCCACAGGTTGTCGTGCTGCAGCGCGCAACATTGCGAGCCCCCGAAACACGGCAAAAACTTCCTCAAGTAACGAGGGGTCCCACTGTCCGAGATCTTCGGCGAGGAAGAAGAGTAAGATAACAACGGCAAAACACATGTCGTATCGTGCATGAAGGGTGATTGAAACATATTCCGCCGTGGAAGCAGTCGACCAATCTGAGTGAACAGGAGGAAGAAGCAACTCTACCTCGTCTTCTTCCCTTTTCACCTCCTGGTCGAAGCCAGCAACCAGATCGAGTATGACTCGTGCGTCTCTATCAATATCTTCAATGCTTTGCAGTCTTCCGATAATCCAACTCTCGAGGCCTTCATCAAGGTCGTCCTGGAAATTGGACCGCTGGGCTTGGTCCTGGATAATGTCAATGAAAGGGAAGGCAATTTCCTGGTGAATGATGTCCGTAACTCTGCTCTCCAAGTTCAAGAGCGCTTGAGGCCCAAGCTTATTACGCAATGTCCATAATACGTCCAAAAGGGCGAAATGAGGTTCTACGGGGAGATTTGATGAAATATGCCTGTATATGCGCAAAGGAAGGTCCTCCTTCACAAGAGTACCTATTCTCTCCCGTTCGAGAATAATCACCTCATCCTTCTGCTCTCCCATACCAAGAGCAAGAGGCCACCTGGCGCTACGTTCTATTTCTCGACACCTAGCGATGAAGCCCTCCCAGTCTCTTTTCAAAGCATTCCAGTATCGTTCATGTTGCAGTGCTCCAGTTTGTGGATCTTGAAGGAGATTCACAGTACAGCCGACAACAGCGGCGATATTCTCTGCTATAGTACCGTAAGTCGTTAATAATGGAGACGGCGGCTGCCCAGGCAGTGACATGCATGCATCAGTATACTGGTCTATTGCGGTGCGCAATGTTAGAGCAGAAAACATGCCAGGTCTCAAGATAGCTTCTAAGAATCTGCCTGTCAAAGAACCTGGAGAAAGAAGAAGTTCATCGAGATACGCAGGCGTCAATTCTACTTCTTGTGCGTATGAAGCAGACTTCCAATTGGGTTCGTATGGAGCCTGCTTGACTTTGTCTATTGAAGGCATCGCAGTTTGTTCGGTCATAGATGAACCTTGGCGGTCCCATAGCGTGTATAGAACACCTGATACCACTATGAAATCTTGCAAGTAGCAATGAACACTGTTAGATGAACATTCGATCGTCTGAATTTCGCGCATATATTCGTTCGAAGAATCAAACAACTGGAAAAACCCGCCAGAATGAGGCGCCGAAGGAGTCGGAGTGAACGCCAGGACATATATGCTGTCTTCTAAGGAAGCAGTTGAGAATATTCGTATCAGAATACGTGGATCGGCCTCGAGGAGTACATGAGATTTGACGGGATTGGATCCCGGAGCTGGAGAAGAAGCCCTGCCAGGAGATGATAAAGCTTTTGCAGCAACACAACCTCCTTTCGCAGTCCAAAGACGGAGGGTTCTGTCGCGAGATAGCGTCCATATATGACCGAGATCGGTGGGCTGAGGGTGACTCGTTATTGAAATAATCTCTGAGCCACTCGAGCTACCCGAATGCAAGCTAGGAAGATAAGCGGTCAACGAACCGAAGAAAGAGCCAGGATTAAACAACGATTCTGTCCATAGATCTGACAAGGATTATGGTGCAACCCCTAGGTTCAGCAGGAGCAGATAAACTGTTAACATATAGCTCACCATCGTTATTGTCATCACCAACTCGTTCTGTCTCTATGCGCAACAAACCACCGGAATTGAAACCAATAGCAACACAATGTGGCCCTTGCGCCTGAACAATACCCATGACAGACTCTTGGACATTCTTAATGAGATATTCACGACACCAGTTCTTGCTGACTTGGTCATGCCAAAGACGAGATGGGTTACTTGTGGGTAAGACCAAGCGATAGAGCGAGCCTCTCTCTGTGACTGCAAGGATGTGCAGTTCGTTCTCGTCCCATGTGAATATGGCAGGCGTTGGCAGGACCGGAGCCGGGAAAACGAAACGTATTGGAGGGACTTGGGCTGAGAGAGAGACGATCTCTATTATGAGTCCGCCGTGAAGAACACGAAGAAGAACCGTTCCAACATGGGAAATGTGAGTAAGTGAAACATATGATGCGTGTTCTGCAGGTGCATCTGAGTCTTTTAGGGCTGGTGACAGAGGAGTGTTCCGACGTGAAGTCTGCAGCGGTATTGATGTGACCTGTGAAGATGAGAAAAGTGAAGAAAGTTGGGTTGAGACTATGATACTGGTGTCCATTGTACGCGCCGTCGAGATCGTTAAGGAAGAAAGCAAAGAGACATTCAGCAGCACAGGGCAGCCCGAGAATGCTTGACCGTTGGTGGCTGAAAAGATACTGAAACCTGAAAACGACGCGAACGACCAACTGCGATTGCCTTTTTTGGATTTCCTGTGGCGCCACCGATCTTTCAGGGTGCCACACTGGCACAGTGCTCAATGTCCAACAATAACGGTACATATTCTTCCACTTCACAAATATCACTCTGGAAGTCAACGTTCACGGCCCCTCTTTTTTCTAATTATCTACCTACAACTTCAATGGTTTTATTGCGTATTAACACTTCATTCCATCGTCTTAGCATGGCATAACTAGATTCAGAGGACGGCGCTCGAGGACCCAGAAGATAATGTCAGGTGTCGTGGCTGTTGCATTCAATTCAAATACTCATAGTTAAAATCCCATGTCTGAAGTCTTTTACCGTTTTATCGGAGCTTCATCTCAAGTCCGACATCATAGGAACATCGAGACGGGTTGTATAGACAGAAACAACGAAGGTCCTAGGCAAGTGGTGCGACGAGACGAGTTCTCTGATTGAGTGGTGAAAAAACAGGAAGTGGGTGGCCCAAATATTTATTACCATAACCGAACCGCTCGCTTCCTCGGCGAGTACAGTGCTTAGCGTCGTGCGCAGAGTATATTTCCTCGCATGAAAGATGGTTATGCGTAGCTCATGTTTATCCAGTCAGGTGATCAAGCACCCGGCTTCTAGGAAGCCTCAACAGACAGTATTTGTTCCCCTACAAACGCAAAATGGGCGGCTCGCTCTGTGTGGATGTCCGAAGCCATCAGACAACACATGCCCACGGTAGCGTCACACCCTCCAGAGTAGGGCCAATTCGTCCAAAATGCACAGGAATAGTATATAGACGTGCCACGTAATAGATATTGGTGCTGTTTACAGCGGTATGGCTGTTGTTGAGATGAAATCATGTGAGAGGTACAAATGCGGCAAACAAGAACGGAGTATCCACCGATGATTGAATCACGACTCACGAGGCTCAGGGTCTTGAGTAAATATTTTGCGGTCACCGTATCTAGCATTTATAACCTTAATTATCCGATGGTTGTTTTGATTAAGTCGCCGTGTGTGGTGATGCGGCATCTCTTTATGTACGCCGCCCATCAACCTGATAAGTTAAGCCAGTAGCATTTGAAGTTACGATCCCCCTGAGAGTGGAGCAAAGAGAGAAAATGTACTCATCTCCGTTATCGCACAGGATGAATGAGTCAAACACGATCCTTGGCGTGATTCTGTTTCAATGGACTCATTTCAATCACGGTGCCGGCAATCCATGAACAAAATACAGCATTGCAAAGGGATCGTAAAGGCCGAGAAGGCAGATCGATAATCAAGGGAACGAGGAAACGAGAAGCTGATGCGAGGTTACATTATGCCGCATCGAGCAACGGAGAACTGAGTAAACAGGTAACTGGTCCTCGCGCCTTCCATTGAGTCTGTGCAATTAAATACACAGGGGCTGATTTGTCTTTACCTAAAGACATATGTGCGATGGTGGCGTTAAAGTCCAATGCATTTGATATCACAGTGATTTGGGAGACCCCAATTGAAACGGACTCGGAGGCGCCTTAAAATGAAATCGAGTAATGATAAATAGGACAATACAAATTCGTCGAGGATGGCCTCACTTTCATAAACCCTTGGGAATGGAGAATTTCTGCGTTTGTCCGTAGTAGGAGGCCGCCGATGCGGCTGAACCGCCGTTATTCTGCGGCAAAGTATCCATTGCAAAGAGAAAATAGGAGATCATGGTTCGGACATTATTTTGCAAGCAAACTGGGTCCACAAGGTGCCTTAGGTTCTTCGAAGCCGTACAGCCACAACTTTGGTTACGCAGCGGCAAATAGCTCTACACCTGCCCGTCGACAACAAGACATACAGAAAGCACCACGAGACGGTCCCAATACGGAGACAGATAAAGGAAAGGATTGAAAAACAAGACAGTGCAGTATGTGTCTGGAGCTATTTGATATTGGGCGAACCGTCGGGGCGCGGACAAGTCAGAATGACCTTCAAAAGTTCAAGCCCACTTGCAGCCGGCGACACGCCTTTACGGCATGAGAAAATGCCCATTAATGGTATATTCGCGGAGTGGACGAGTCCTGTAACACGCTGAACTGGCGTTGAGCACTAAAGTGAGCTCTAGAATTCATGTCTTCAGGAGCCGCAATCTTGTTCAGTATAGCTATGAGGACCAACAGATGACGCTTCAGCTCGATACCAGATCGATGGTACGGCCGACAAGGCTATGAAGGTGTCGAACGTTGGAGCGAAGGGGATCATAAATTCAGATTGGGGACTCGGACAGGGAACCGGCTTGTTTGATTGGGAAATTTGCGTTACAGTTAGCAGGATTCGCACATGGACGATTACCTGAAACGCACTAATTGATGAAACCAGATCTATTCGGTGCGTCTGCCTGAAGCTGCGTGTAAGGGACCACAAGTGTTGCTTTTCGAATCATCTTTATGTCATATTCTCGTATTCGTTTGTAAGCTCTGTGTTCAGCTTTATGTCCACCGCCTGGCTGAAGGCCTGCAAGCAACGACCAGCCTTCGAAAAAGGCGCCATGACGGAAGAACTGTCGAGAAAAAAATGGACAAAATGGAAATAAAACCCAGACGGCGAGTTTTTACCAGCAGCCGAACTTGCAGGACTATGAGAACGTACTTACTCGATTTGGCCTGATATGTCGTTTTTGATCCCGCTCCTCGCTTTCCTTTGTTGCAATCATTAATGGGTGGCAAACATGGCTAGTAGGATCTCTACCTACAAATGTTCAAGGTTTCTCCGTCGAGTCGCACAAAAGGCGGTCCTCGAAAGGATTTGTCCTGTAATGCTGTAACAAAGCCCCAGTATCACCAATTCTCAGAATGGCTATCAACACGCATTCCCTTTTCCACTAAATCCATTGTGATGGTTCGAATGGTGTGCACGGTATGAATGATTTGTTAATGATCCGTTCCTAACTCGTGTCTAGTCTAACACTTCTTTGCTTTCCTTAGTTCGCATGATCGAAGGCCGGCGGCGGACAAGCTGCACGTTGTCCTCGTTGTGGAACCGCCTTAAGCGTTATAAGAACGCTTGTGAAAATGCTCTTATTTTCTTCAGAGTGACTCGAGTGCTCTCAGGCTTGAAACTAATAGTTCCTTTTCTTTCGGACTCACCTACCTTACAATCTATACTTTTTTCCTAGTCAGCTTGGGACCATATCTCCAACTCATATTCCATTCCATCACCCTATCAGTAATATCTCAGCACTAATGGCCCAGCTAGAATCTTTTGAAGCTCTCTTGTTTCCTTCTGATGGCCGCAATCCTCATATGGTCGCCCTCATGAGTAGCCCCATGATGATGCCAGACCCATACTATCCACAGAGCACCCAACCTGCTCGGATGCCCCACCCCGAGGTCTATATGGACTACATCGCAGAAGGCCTCGGGCCTCGTGCTTGGCAATATCAAGTAAGTCGCCATTGACACTTTACAATATGAAGCCAAGTCGTTAATACTCGTCTTCATTAATAGATTGTCGATGCTCTCGATGGCATGAACAAAAAATTCGCTAATCCTTTCGTTATCTTCTACCCTACTGTTTCGCGTGATGGCATGCCATTCCCCATAAACAAGTGTATCCGCGAAATACAAGGCAGGGCTTTTAGAGAGTCCTGCGCTTGGCGCGGTAATATCATCGTAGCCAAGTATCACGAAAGTCCATTTTCTTCTATGCTAGACGGCTCAATCGCCGACTTTCCCCTTCTACGGAATTACTTCATGACTCATGGCTCACCTATGCAAGTAGGTATAATGTTCCTTGCATGTGCGCTGAAGAAACTGACTTCATTCCTAGATACCGACTAAAGGGACCTGGTGAAAAATCTGGAACCCTATTATGAATCACCTTTGACGCCGTACATTATGCTATGCTATGCGCTACAAATATCTTCAAGCCCTTAATGCCATTTAATACTCGCACCCCAAATGTATACAAGCAGACATATATAGTACATTGGTAATCTATAACTCTTCCCGCTTTCGCTGGCCTTGTTTTGGTTGCTTCTGAGAAGTTCTAGGATTCTCTTTACTTTGCTTCCTTGGGTTATCACTATCCGCATCCTGAGGATTGCAGTGCTCCGGGATTTCACTCGCCGGGTCGATAGGAGGATGGAGAACTTTTCCAACCTTAGTATAGTCCTTATGCTCCGCGAAAAACTTTTTCCAGTGTTGAACTCCCTAGAAATCCCCGTCAGTATGGGTGTGGCCGTTGAGTGGAGACAAAGATCTCTAGAGAAGCTTACCTTCATCTCACGATCGGTCAAACCTCGCAAATCATGAGTGCGGTGTGTAAGAAAACAACCAGTCCCAAAAGCCCTTGCGGCATCAACTCCTGCCCTGTAAAAGCAAGGGCGTCAGTCACGAAGAAGAATCAGAAAAGCAGTGACACAAACATATGATGGTATGAGCCGCCAGGGCCATAGGTCCGTCTATTACTGGAAACATCGTATACGTCGTGGTCGATCTGAAACAGTAGCAGTCAAACTTGAATGCTCCTTGACACGCCTGACGAAGAAAAGCACTCACTGCCAGATAAAGAGGCTTGTTGATATCCGTCCCATCGAACTGCGCAAGCAAACCTTCCGAGAATAAACGTTGGTTGGTCTATCAGACAAAATGAATGAGTGCAAGATAAACAGACTATAACAAATACTGCTCACCGGCCAATATGTCTTCAGTCGAGTCCACTTTCCATCATACTCCCAAGTGAAACTGCCCGTAAAGAATTTCCCAGCCAACGCAATAATGATTAAGACGTATACGAGGAACTTCAGAAGGCCCAAAATCCCAACTTCTTCCTGCGCAGTTGGATCACGCTCTTCTGGACCAACTTTCTCCCCTCTGGCCACCTTTGCATCACGCTCTATCTTTCTCTCCATCCAAGCTTTGTGGTCCTGTTCCTGTTTATCCTTGTATTCTTTGTATCTGTGTACAAAATGAATGGTAAATGAGATGTATCACTTGAAAAAACGTCAAAGAACATCATACGCTAAAAATGGTTTGTTTGCTGATTTCGTTGTTTCCATTCTGTTGGGGATGGAAGGGTCCGGCACAAGTTTCTCGCCTGGGGCGGTGTTGCGCGTATGAGATGCATCACCTTGGGGATTCCAGAGCCAGGACATGTTTGGGCAAGGGAAAGAACGTTGACAAGCAGGAAATTGTGAGAGTCAAGTAACGTGGCAAAACGGCGTTGTGGACAGGAACAGTCTGATTTACCAGTTGGGTCTAGGGATCTACATGCGGGGCAATGTCTCAGGACAAAAAAAAAGATGGCACGGACATCATCAAGTTCAAACACAAAAATACAACTTGACATACGGAGCTAGTGATTATTAGTTTTACCTACGTGACAAGACTGTAGGTATCGATACATATAATGTATGTATGAAGATTGTACACCGCCAGTAAAATGGGTTGTGGAGGGGGGAATCGTAGGTAATGCGATGGATAGACAACGGAAAAAAAACCAGTCGGCAAAAACTTTAATAGTGATATAAGCAACTGAAGCCGACTCGAAAGACAATACTGATAATGCCTTGAAAGATAAAAAATATTATTGTAATACGGTGAAAAGTATGAACGATGGATAACCCCCCGGGTTGAATATGAAATGTCGAGTTGAAGAACACAACGAGAAAGTGATGAGCATAAGGTTGGTGAATGTCAGGCAAGAAACATGTGAGTGTGATTAAGCGTCGTGTCTTGCATCAACAAGCCAACGTAAAGGGAAAATCGCGAGAGCAAGTCCGTAGGATCATGGAAAAAGGAGCAGAGAAGGAGGCCCATCATTCACGAGGCTTCTGGCGAACCTGGCGTATCCTTATTATGTTGTCGGTGCTCTCTCTCCTTAGCTTGCTGCGAAATCGTCATATATGCGCCTCCGCTCTCTTCTGCGCTCGGGTTCAAGCCTGGTGGGGCTGGGGGTTTGGTGAGGAAAAAGACGTCAGAGTCCATCGAGTCTGCATCTCCCATATAACTTCGAGCATCGAGGAATTGAGGGGTTTTGATAAACTGAAAAACAGGAATTAGCCATGATAACAAGATAAACGCATGCACAAGTACCTTGGGCACGGAATCCGTAGCCATCAAGCGGAAAACATGAGTCTGAATTCTTTCGTAAAGCCGAATCATCATTTGCAATTGGGTGGCATTGAAGGAGCTAGCTTGTCCTGCATCAACCTGGCCTTCAAAAACCTTGCCTGTCATACCCGTCATGACATCGTTCAAGTATCCAGCTAGGTCGTATCGTAGGCCGTGGTCGATGTTGAGTTCACATTGACTCGATGGCGCCAAATATTTGTTGTAAATCTGGAAGGCAGTTTGAATCAATGATTCGTGATGCCTTTCCATAGCTGCTTGTCCTGGCGTTGCTTTATTGCCTGGACGTACACCGGGAGTAGACGCTATTGCGCTAGATGTTATGTTGAATTTGCGTTTAAAATCCTCCACGTCCAACCAAAACGACAGATTCTCCTCGCAGAAGTTGGATTTCAAGAACTCCCGGAACAAAGAACGGAGGTGTGCCTCTTCTAGAATGCTATTGAGACGATCGGTATTGCTCTCCTTGGTACCCTTTCTTTCTGCAGCCTCATAACTGGCATTAAGCTTCTCAGCCATAGATATACGGCGATGAATTTTGGCGTCCTTTGATACCGCAGCATTGGTAGCAGCATCGCCACTTGTCGAAGGAGCAGAGCCTTCAGCGGTGCTGTTCTCCAAAGACGAACGCTCAGCATGTAGGTTCACCGATGAACTTTGCGGTGAATCGCGAGGCCTATTGCCGTCCCACTGAGCAACTCGTTTGCCTTCATCGGTAATTCTATAGATAGCTTTCGCTGTGCATCGGAACTCTCCGTGTTGCTGGAGAGGTCAACCAAGGAGTGAGATACGACAAGAAACGGTGCAAAGAGCTGTACATACGCTAACTGGTGAATTTCCGCCGGGTGCGGATCCACGAACCGTGAAAATGATGGCCGAATCGTTATTCTTCCTCTTGTCACTGACCAGTGTGATGAGGCCAAATCGAACGAATTGGGCGGCCATCTCCGCTCCCTCCTCCCGACCCACCACGGATGTGAAATCGCAGAGCCATTCCAGAGCAGTCACAGCAGCGAAACTGTACTTGTGAGTAGTTACCGCGGTCTTCCCCAGAAGGGGCTGCGCACGTTCCTGCACGTCCATCAATGGAACACCCTTTGATCGTTCGTGATACTCTTGGAAAGTATCCAATGGCGTTGACGAAGATGATGGGTAATTTGGCTGACGACCAACAAAACGGCGGAAGAGAGCTGTAATAACGGATTGAGTTACGATGATTTCATCATCGACAGACCGTCGCTCTAGGTGAAGCAATTTGATACAGATGGGTTGTGAAACGAAGACAGGTTGGAGATGATCAGAGTTGATTCCGTTCTTTGTGATGAAACGTTCAAGGACATGTAGACCCTTTGGAGTAAGGACGTATGTGCCACGATCCTTGAAGAGGTTTGATTGGGGATCGGCGGCGTTTTCGATGAGACGTGCATCCATAAAATGCTGGCACATAGCCTTTGCCATGTCACGGGTCATGGAGAAAGTCGTGGTGGTGGTTGTCGTCACAATTCGTGTTTTATCTCTGGGATCCGGCCCTCTGTTCGACTGGGAAAACTTGAGGGATGCCAAGTTCTGAGCTGCCTCATCGCTGTAATGGAGATATGAGATATGCTGGCGGTACTTGGGATGGCAGATACGTACGTTGAGAAGGAATTGGGGAAAGTACGGAAATATTGCTTGTGCGTTGTGAGTTGCAAAGATACGATGAGAGTTGCGAAGAGGTCGAGAGTGTCCTAAAATGACAAATCAGCAAATGCACAGAACCTGAGATGTATGATTGGCAGGACAGAGAGAGTGCTACGAACCTTTAGAAAAGGCCTGCCGCGTTTTGTGGTCTTCATCATATGCGATGTGCTGGGCACCATTTCTTGCTGATCAGCAGCAGGCATTGTTGTGGAAAGGAGAGGGAAATGGAGGTGCAGGAGAGGAAGAAATACAGGATTAAAAACGGCGGGATGACAAGAAAATAAGGCGGGAAAGGGCAAGAAACGAGGAGAGACTGATGTTGATGGAGGAGAGGCAGGGCGTAAGAAGACGGACGGTAGCGTGGGTAATTTGATAATTATTTATTATCGCGATTTAACGTTAACAGACGGCCGCCTATCCGTTTCCCACAGCCAATTTGCTAAAACGTGGACTTCAAACAGGGACACAGCTCATTAAGCCCCTTGTTGTCCTCGCAATCCTGTCCGGCACACTTGGCTCAAGCTTTACCATCCCCGAAACACAACGCCTAGCCCGTCCTCGTCCTCCCCCGCTGCGGTGTCACAAAACATATAGATACGTAGCTACTACTAGTCCGATGCGCCCTGTGGCAGTTCGTTGGCGGGACCAATCTGATCTTCCACTCGGACCAGCTTGGCTGATGCGGCAAATCAGCAATTCACATTCCAGAGCCGGTGCCCTCCCATTGTCACTTGAGAAGTAAAGTATCCTACTTTCTGCCACTCTCGCGACCGCCGATCAGCAGTCCTTTGCGTCAATCTGATTCTGCTACGCGGTCGCAGAGACCCATGAGAGGTAGACAACAATGTCACAAATATGATTCACGTCTGCAAGTCCGCCGGTCTTCACTTACGGAAGATGTCCTGCAAGAAGTCGTAACCGTTACCATGCTAATATTACGGCCTATTCTCCCTTTTGTTCCTTAGGCACCGGGCACGCTTCTCTGTAGTCCTGCATTCGACCGATCCTTCAGATCTGTTTGAAACCTGAGCCTAATACCTGCTGCCTATCAACCCCATTACAAACAAAAACACGCCCTGCGGCGAGTCACCAGCTACGTCATCCAATTTCGTGTATTACTAGTACTTTCTCTGTGTTTCAACATCGCTCGACAAACGTCCTACAAGTAGACCGTTTTCTCAGCCTCATGACGGCGGGAGTCTACCAGAGCATCTCGCAGTACTCGCACCCGTCAGGCCCAGGACAGCGCTTAGGGCAATATCTTGTTCCGGTGCCAGTGAGGAATTGACACGCACTGACAGACTCGACAAGTAACTCTATGTCTGCAGGTTATCGGCTACTGTCAATAGCGTTATTCGACTGTAACCTAGTACCACTGTACTAGGTTACCTTGAAACTTTGCAATATGCTGCCTTGAGTGAGTCGTTTTCCAGTCACATCCGAGCTGGAAGAGTTCACACAGTTTCACACAGTCACACAGTAGTAGTAACCGTGTTTTATCTCCGCGGCAGGAGATGGTCATCCATGCATCGCGACTCATCGACGCTACAACGCCTATTCTTGTACTCTCATCTTGGACCGGTTTCTTCTTCCTTCGAAAGAACCGGCGCCGATGAAATCGACCGGTCCACCTGGTAAAATAGCCCGGCATCGGACAACTATCAGCAGTATTGCACCTGCGTCCAGACCGTCCAATACTTATTCGCTCCCGCAACGACCGACACTGTCATACAAGATGGAGTGGAACGGTCAACTGACAGCGGGAAAAAAAGGCGAAATGGACACGTAGCCGACCATTGTTATCATATCGACAGGCACGTCTGATCCGCTATACATGTTCCGCTCTTTGACTTTGTGCTTTTGGCCTCAGGTCTGGTTCCATGCGACGTCAATGACTTTGCTTACTGTATCAATGAAGCCGTCAAACTTGAAGGCGATACTTATAATGTAGGACTATGTCAATGCTACTCAGTGCTCAACGTCCCCTCCTACTATTGACACCTGTTGCTTCGCGAGAAACACTAGTACTGACTGGACTTACCCTGTGGCGCAAATGGTACCAGGGACGAAGTTCTAAATGCTGATAGTCCATTGCACCACCTGAACACGAGGCTTATCAAGAATTTGATGAGTGGCTCCTTATTTCATACTTATAACACAATCGATACCTCTGAATGACGAAAAAAAAAGCAGGGTGCTGCATTTATGCTGTGATGACGTTTGTCTATGATTTCGGATCATGGCTAGTGGGCTAGTGGGGATATGGCTGGATAGTGGCAGAGTTCGCAGTTTGTGACTTTGATCATCCTTTGGAGCACACAAAATTGAAGGAGATCAAAGTAGTGACTACTGAGTCCGACCTGAGAGGAGCATACTGTCGGGAAAGACGTGCGGCCCGATGTCGGGCAATCCCCATCATTGGTGCCAACGTTGCATGTCGTTACCCGACACCGGAGCCACGTTCGTCGTTGTTGCAGTGCTTTTTGTGAATGATAGTGCACTAGGCTAGACTAGACTTGTCATCGCTCCATTGAGGAACTGAAAGGTAACTGGAATCAGATCTTCGTTGACACCTGCCAAGATATTATTGCTGATAGTATGTCGTCGACCCGGAAGATGGTCCGTGACGGTCCCCGATGAGGTTATTGCACTGGTATTATCTCCAGCATCACAGCCTGAGCGACTACTAGAGAGCTCCACAGCGCTTGAACTCGTATTAGTATACAACCGAATGAATTTCACCAACGTCAACGTGAGCGCCTAGGTCGATTTCTCCTTCCCTGTGCTCATACTGGCAACAATGGTCGGGATCCTGGCGTCAAGGCGGCACTTCTGGGACACGGTCATCACAGGCATGTCAAGAGTCCATGAGCAATGACCCGAAACAAGTCAATGTAACCTGAAAACGGACGTCCACAAACCACGCCGCAGCAGTTTCAGGGACAGCCAGTGGTGCTACTGCGACTACTTCCGAAGGCACCAAAGCGTCTTGGTTCAGGTTCCACTGCGGTGTCTAGAGCTCTTTCCTCTCAGCTGCAATTGTCCTCATCATCCCAAGCGCGCCTCTTCCACTCGTTTGACAACCTCTAATCTCTTACCACGCGTTTCGCAACCAAAATGTGATACTCATGCACGCCATGTCGTCCTGCGCCGCTTGCAGCCGCGGCTGTGTCTCTTCCTCATAAAGATATTCGTCATAAAACTTTCCAATAGGCCTTACTGCATTGCATTATCAGAGCATGACTTTGTAACAGGCGCGTTTCTAGCCACAGTAACACGGTCTCTTCGACAAAAGAAGAGCACTACGAATGTACTTGAACGGCAATGAATGGAAGGACGAAAAGCTATCAATAAGAAAACACGAAGAAAGGTGAAGGTTGCTGAACCCAAAGTAAGTGAACTCTATTGGTCTTTTTGTTATCTATATTGAAATTTTGATACCTATCGATCATTTCAGTCAGCATGATCGGCGGAGGGCTATCAAAGAACGAATATGGCGAGTCAGTCATACCGACACAATTGTGTCTTTATCTGTTTTCGTCCGCTAAAGTTACTGACCTCGTGCACCTTATCAGATGATGAACCAAGCATTCCATAAAGAGCTGCAAATTCTTGGAGACTCAATGTGTCCTCCTCGCATGGAATGAACTTGGGTACAAACCAGCAGACTGCGCTAGAACGCCAAGGCTTGCCAACTATGCTCGTGACGGACTCGGAATCAGACAGAGAGGTAAATCGTCCGATTCTTCTTACTGAAGCGGCAGCTATCTATAGAGCAAAAATCACTGAATCCGCCTAATTTGTCCTTTGATGACATAGAAGCAACAAAGAGTTGTGCAGGTTTTAGAAAGTACTTATCGTGGGCGCCGACGCTTCATATATGTCGGCTACTTTAGGAAAGGTTCGCGGGTCGCTATGTCTTCGCCTCGAATTCGATCGTCGGTTGCAGTCTTTTGATGCGGGAGTACAGAGGAAACTTCCGCTAGCTTCCGACGCTTTTTGTTTACACGTGGACAGTACTCAATCATCGGGCCCGTACGGACACTATGCATTGCACGATAACGGGAGCGTATAAGGCGGTGGTTCAGTGAGTTTATGTATGTGAAACCAGTAAACACTGGAACTTTTTTGTAATGTTCTAGTAGGCCGCGGCATGTGATCGACGTAAAAATCGGGCCTCCAGCTCAGTAAATCGTAGATACGAGTCGGATATGTCGTACTTATCGTCCCAAGGCATCCTTGAGAATCAAGTTCGAAGCATGAAACACGATGTGACGGCGCAGTGTATGATTAATGATTGTTATCATACACTGCGGACACGCCGTCGCCAAGTCCAACATGTTGTTGAAAAGAGAAGGTCTATCCGAGGAGATGACCACATACATATGGCAAAGCTTACCTGAGAGGCTGCTTCTCTCTTGATGAATTCTTGGGTGGTCCGGCTTGTCACAAAGACGCGAATAGAGATGCTAATTTTGTGGTCACGGTCAGTCTAATGTCTAATTCCGAGGCTACTTCGAACTTACCATTCAACCCGGTTGGAAAGCACGAAAGAGGAGGCCTACGCCAGACAAATTATGGTGGTTCTTTCTTAACTTCCGCGACTTTGCCCATGCCCGACTTGATCGTGAAAGTCCACGCCGCATCAACCTTGAGGCCTTGAGGAGCTACCGCATGACCATAACGTCTTGTCGTTACTGGACGGATCAGCAAAGGTAGCGAATCGAAATAGCGAATCCTTCGACAGACACTCTTTTTTCCGATAAGCTGCGAGGTTGAACATGAGAGGGCTACCTTCTAATCGGCTGAAAGCTGATTTGCCTGACATGTGAGCATGTTACTGTGCGAAATGGTTGTGAAATCACGGAGACTGACCAGGCCATCACGGTTACAACGGTGGATCTGCGGTTGGGAAAACGGAACCGAGATGTAAAGGAAAGTTGGGGGTAAATCTTTGTAGTCCTTGTAGAAAATAAGAAAATGATGCAAAATCCAATGAGAAAATCCGAACCTTTTTTGTATTATAATTTCGCTTCAAAGCATCTTAGGTTACCGTTTAACTTGGGTTTAATTGTGTTTGGGTTCTTCGCAAGCTCCGTCTTGCATTCCGAGCCCGATGTTTTCCTGTAGAGTGAGCAATAGTCCATATAGAAAAACAGTACTTATGTGGAGTGAACGAAGAAGATATACCTGCTGAAATGAAGTTGCCTGAGCGTATCACTATTGTGTGCACTAGCAGCGATTTAGCGTCAAAATATTATCGCTCCGCCGGGAACTAATAAAAAGTATGGATCTGCCCCTCGGCTAACCATATATTGAGTTCGCGCCATGCAGCACTTCAGGGTTGTTGCCTGGTGGGGCAACACCTTTTCTTCGTGCTTAAAAATCATTCAGAACCTCTACTCACCTCCTTCTCCACCCTTGGACCGTTAATCTAGTCTCATACTGTGGCTGGCTTGTTCCTGGTATGCCTTACGTCGATATTCCATCCAGAGACGACTACGTGTCGATTTGGTACACCACCAACTCCGTCTACGGAAATGTAGGCAGCTTCGACCCCGACAAACCAACCGCGATTATACTACACCCCTTGTTTTTAGACTCAACCTGGCTCGAGCATCAGTTTGATGACCCAAGACTGACATACAATCACAATCTGATAGCGTTCGACATGCGCGTTTGCGGCAAATCCAGGTGTCGTCCAAGTGGTTTACATGATAGCTGGGTGGAGGCGGCAGATTTGGCTTTTGCGTGTCAGGTATGGTCTTATCGCCGCGAATGGGTGATTAACACGTTTTAAAGACTATATCGCCCTGCAGGCACTTTGTCTTCCTCCTGCTCATGTGCTTGCACTGGAGAGCATATCTGTGAATTGCGCGTTGAGACTGGCAGCCCTGTATGTCTAATCTCTGTGTGATATATCTGGAGAAGCACGGAACTGATTTGACAAGCTTCCCGGAGCTGTGTCTTAGCCTCACGTTATGCAATGTTCCACCACCGACAGAGTTAGTAATCCTATCTCTCTTCCTTCTCGAGACTCATTGCATATCTTTGATAGACTCAAAGCTGTATTTGAGGCGTATGACGAGCTTCTACAACTTTGGTGTTATGCCGAAGACCTCGACTCGTTCGAGCACGCAGGGTCAGAAGTGGTAAATTTCATGACGGCAGGCAATGTATGCAAATCCTTGCTATCCTCTTTCATGTTTTAATTCCTTATTAGGACACAGAACTGGATCTTCGGGATGAAGTGCGTTGCTAGCTTGTAATTTGTGCTTCTTGCTGACGTTCACCCGACTAACCGTAGCTGATTTCGTATTGGGAGATGACTTTGCCACCAACCAAAAGATTACGTATAGTTGAACTTATAAATGTTGTGATGAATGTAAGTTGTATCAAGAAGCGATCTTTTTGCCAATGACCACACTAATTCATCCATTGATCAGCGGACACCAATGAAAGCTAAAGAATTGGCTTGCATAACACAACCTGTCCTCATAATACAGGTACTACATTTAGCTCGCTCTATGGACTCAAATTTAGTCTGATTTTTCTCAGGGGGAACGAAGTATAATAGCTCCGCTAGTATATGCCGAGAAATTGAAGAAAGGTCTAGTCAACGCAAAGGATCCTCATATATTTGTGGTCAAAGGTACGGTCTCGTTTGTCATCGTTTTCCACGAACCAAAGGTGGGCTTACAGTTTGCATATAGGAGCTACTGCATGCTTGACTCTCGTTCCTAGTAGCGCTTCGATTTTGAACAAGGTTTTCTACAAATATCTTTCTTCACTACCTCCCACCCGGTCGGATCTGAGACCTCCGGTCAATATCCCTGAAAGAATGCAAATGGCTCTATCTAAACTGGCCGACATCGCTGGTGATCCGTCGATTGCGAACCGTGATCCTAGATCAACTTTGTCTTTCTCATGCGTTACTCCCGAAATTGCAAAAAGTCAACTCGAGTCCCTAAAGTTTTATGCGAAGGACATGGACAAGGCATATTGTCCTCTCGGTCTGGACGGTCGACCTATGCGGAAGTAAGTAGTTGTTCAGCTACATTTTGGCATGATTAATCTCCTACGCCATCGTAGATATTCGGAACGGAAAGAACAACATTGGTTCTATCCTGGTCGGGATGGATTGAGCTACATTTGTATGGCTACCATTTATCATTCACGAGTTGCAAAGTTTGCTCACCATTGTTACAGCACCTGATCTGGTAGCAGCGCAAATCAAGTATACATCGCACTACTCAGAACCAGAACCTTCATTACCTCTGCCAATGATTCCAGAAACACAGTCCGAACTGGTCACCACGGAGCTCGCCCAGGACGGTCGAATACGGCGAACAACGTTCAATCCAAGCTCTGTCGACAAGTATGTCATCAAGGGCTCCATGTCGAAAGTGGTAGCATCAACCGGCGTTTCGCTGCCCAAGATAATGTCATGATACCCAGCTGCACATACACCACCATGTGTTATAATGTTGATCACAGGTCCATGTCTGGTTGTGAAAAAGTACTTACGATACCTTCTGTTGTAGATGTTGGCGTGTCTTGGTTGGGCATGACATGTTCTCTGTACTCTACTTCGGACTCATTTACGAGATTATGTTATACACTTTTAGGAACGCATTTATCTGTTTAGTTGTTAGAACACTACTACTATTTACATGTACACATCCATCCTATTGATGATAATAAAGTTGGCGCAAGCAAGTTGTTTTTTGAAATTAGCATTATCTACATCTACAAATTTGGCGTCTAGATGCTGCCTTCCGCCATCTTTGCCTTGTAATATCTAACCATCTCTTCCAAGCCCATGCGCACCGTCCATTTCGGCTGCCAGTCCAAAGATTCTTTGGCTCGCGTGGTATCAGGTCGCCTTTTCTGAGGGTCATCCGTCGGTATGGGCTTGTACACGATCTGTACACGCTTCTCCAATTTGACACCGTCTTCTTCCTGGACCTTTTCAACAATCTCGCGGACGAGTTCTGCAAACTCGCCGATTGTGAATTCATCGCCGTTACCCACATTGACAGGGCGAGTTTCAGAAGAGTTCATAAGTGCAATGAGACCATCGACCAAGTCGTGAATATACTGGAATGAACGTGTCTGCTTCCCATCGCCGTACACTGTCATGTCTTCGCCTCGGAGAGCCTGCACGATAAAATTGGATACGACACGCCCATCGTGTGGATTCACTAAAATAATTGTTTTTAGTTAGTGTGTGAGTAGGACGATCAGGCGAAGTAACGGCGCACTTCGGGGACCTAAAAAGAAGGGTTATTGAGCACAGCCAAAATGGCACAATGATGATGCAGATCTCACCGTAAGTGTTGAAGATCCGTGCAACACGCACATCGACACCGTCTTGCCGGTGAAAGCCGTATGTCAGAGTTTCTGCAACGCGTTTTCCTTCATCATAACAAGCACGAGGCCCAATAGGGTTCACGTGACCCCAACTAAAGATTGAAAAGGTTGAATTAAATGAGCAGTAATCGACCAACCACACTTACTAGTCCTCATGCTGGGGGTGAACTTCGGGGTCTCCGTATACCTCTGTATACTTGGTCAATCGCCAAAGGCAGGGAATGTAATTTTGGAGACCGTACCGGAAGTACTACTAATGAGGAATCTAGCTTTGGTACGCTTGGCGAGACCCAGCATATTAAGTGTGCCCATAAAGGATGTTTTGATAGTCTTTACCGCATTGAACTGGTAATGAGGAGGAGATGCCGGACAAGCAAGGTGATATATTTCTAGGAAAGGTATGGCATAAGCCGCGATGAGGCCGCAGGAATCTGCAACGTTGGTGATAATAACTTACGATCACATTCGATCATGAAAGGTTCGACCACATCGTGGCGAACCATTTCAAAATTGGGATGCCCGATCCAGTGGCTCACCGTGGTTTTGGAACCGGTGAAAAAGTTATCCAACACAGTGACTTCATGACCGAGGAGCATGAGCCGATCAACGAGATGAGATCCAACAAAGCCAGCTCCTCCCGTCACCAGAATACGTTTGCGGGAAGAAGGAGGCAAAAGTTTTACCGGAGGAAAGCGAGAAAGCGTGGTATAAGAGATCGACTGTGTGCTGGGATGATAGATGGACTTTGATTGATAGGCATTGAGGCCTTGTGTAAACCTTGCATGTTCTTCCTCTTCTTTTGCATCCAATTCGGAAACTTGGGATTCTGACGCCGTCACGACATAATGTGATCGGAGGTACAGGGAACGCAGGATATCGATAGGAACTTCACTGTCGAAACCAAATCGCTGAAAACCAACGGATTTGATCTCCTCGCCATTCTTATCCAAAGTCCGGATCTGAAGAAGAAAAAGAAAAAGTAGTCAGTGGTGACGATAGTTGAACGAGCTGTGTATTCACGAGATATTCGGGTAACAAGTTTTTTGTCGTGTTTGCCATGAACAGAGCTGTAGCCTAGATATGCAAAGAGAATGAAAAATGCTCACAGCTTTAACGGACTCAGTCGAGGGCGGTGATGCCATCTTGGGAGATTGAGACTATACTTAGATTCTTGCCGTTAGGATCCAGGTCTATGTTATGACAGAAAAGCGCTTCAAAGACCTTTCAAAGATCAGAAAGTTATCACAGACTGGGCACGTGCCTTGATAACAACTCGGCTCAATCCTCGGCTCAGTGCGAGGCGAAAAGGAGATTGCCGAACATATATCGCTTACATAACGCAATATTCTCAGATAGGGATGAACCTGGCTCAGAAAATCTCAGGCTTGCAGTCACGGTAATCAATCATGCCTCGAACTCAAAAGCCAGCAGGTAAAGCAAGACACGATCCTTTGTACGTCCAGCTCGGCGAGGACGAACTACAAGCAAAATATGGTCGCTTGTCTCAGCCCGGAAAACGCAAAAAATCTCGCAAAAGCAGTGGAGATGACGATGAAAATGGAGAGGTATGTTCGCGATCTGCATTAGTAAATTCTCCATACACTGATCTTCTCGTCAAGACCATCCTAGATCCAAAGACTTCCAAACGCATATTTGAGCTTGCAAAGGATCAGCAAGAAGAATTAGAAATGCCGGAAGACGATGAAGTAGTCGAGGAGGAGGAAGATGAAAAACTCAAGCAGCCAAGAACACGACCCTTGGCCGATCAAGATGACGAGAGCGAAGGAGACTTTGAAAATGATATGGATGATAACGAAGACGCGGAAGAAATGTTTGTGAGTGCGATCACTATTGGTCCGATCAGATCACCACGACAATATGTAGCAAATCGACGCAGGTGACATGGAAGCATTGGATGCAATGTTACCAGCAAATGCCGGAGAAAGAAAAACATTGGCAGACATCATATTCGCCAAGCTCGAGAGTGGGGAATCGGGTGGTGCGGCTGTAATCCAAAAGATACATCAAGGTTCGTCATTAATAGTGGTAACTTCGAGTTCTTTGCTCACTCACTATGTCTAACAGATAAGGACAGACCTGATCCTGCTTTGGGGCTTGATCCAAAAGTTGTTGAAGCATACACCAAGTAGGTAGCGTTCCATTTTGCATCACTTTGATTGACTTGGGCAACAGAGTTGGACTCTTCCTCTCAAAATATAAGTCTGGGCCCCTACCTAAAATATTCAAGGTTATTCCATCATTGCCCGCATGGGCTCGAATGCTAGCTATGACCCATCCTGAGAACTGGACACCACATGCTTGCCGGGCAGCAACTCGAATCTTCATATCAAGCATGTCTAAAATATAGCTGCAGCCGCCTAGATTGAGAGAAAG